GAGTTTATAGCAAAGGCGTATAAGTCGCTAAAATAATATAAAAAGACAAGTAAGTAAAAACAACTTATAATATAGGCGTATCTCCCTCTACTATTTAATAAAGATAAAAAAAATATAACGAACTAGGCTTAAAGGCAGATCTTCTTATAAGAATATTCTTTTACTATCGATATAGGCGGAGTTAGATAATATTAGCGTTGATATAATATACTTATAAGCTATCTAATAAGCACGATTATAATAAATAAGATAAGAAAGATTATAACGTAGATATCGTCAAAGAGAGTATCGAAAAAATACGATTCTCAATCTAATTCTCAAGGAGATCCTAAAGCCATTACCTCTTATCTATATAGAATATTTAATATATATATAATAAACACTACGTCTAGAGTACTTTAAAATATTAATAATAATTATTCTTTCGAAGTCGAGTAAAAATTATTTAATCTTAAAGAATATCGACTAATAGCTTACTTAACATTATAAAAAATAATAAAGTTTATTCTTATTAGAAGAATAGCGTATCTTACGAAAATATATAGACTCTATTAACTATATATATAAAAGCCGTAGATTACGATTATATAAATACGGTATTTACTATCTTTTAAAAAAGAATATATTAAATTTAAAACTCTAATAAAGTAGCTACGATATTATTACTAGATATTTTAGATATATATAATAAAGTCCTTATTCTCGACTACTTTATAATTTTCGAAAGCGAAAAACGATATAAGAGTAGTTAATTAGATAGAATTATTCTTATTTAATAAAATAATAATACTAAAAATAAGCGAATATTTTATATTAAAGACTCTTATAGCAACGAAATTTCTTAAGAATTATCGCTATCGCCTATACTTTATCTCTTCTATAACTTAAATCTTATTAATAAATATAATAATCGCGCTAATTTAGAAATAATAGTTATCGGCTTTATAGACGATATAAGCCTTTTAATAGTAGAAGACTCTATCGAAAAAACATAAAACTCGAAAACTACGACGAAGTTTATATAAAGTAAAATTATAATATAGATTAAAATTTAATTCTAGTAAATATTAACTATTATATCTTAGTAGAAAATAGAGATTTAGTTTAAATTATCCTCTATAATTTAATAAGAAATAAATATTAAGACGAGAACTTTATTCGCTACAGAAGTCGAAATCGACTTTAAACTCTATAAAGCTATTATAATAAGAAGATTCGATTTAAAGCTATTAAAAGTATTAATATATTAGTAAGAATTATTAGATTAATAAGAATAATAATTAAAGAGTATAAGATAGCTCTATTAGGCGGTAATTATCTTATAAATAATATATTACTACTTAATATAATATTAGCAAAGAACTATTAACTATAATAAAATTTATCTCTTATTATTATAAAGAATTTAATCTTAGAAAAGAAAAGATAATTAAAGTATTTAAGATTATATTTATTTTAATACTTAATAAAAAGTGTATTTCTACTAGTTAAATAATACTAAATAAGATTATCTTAAAAGCACTTAAAATCGCCACTAGTTTAATATATAGCGAGATTATTAAGCTATATTTCGAGCGATAAAAACTAAAAAAATCTAAAAAGAATAAAAACTAAGTTTACTAAAGCGATATACTAATAGATTCGAAAATAAATATAACGATATTAATAAGATTAAGAAATTACGCTTTTTAGCGTCGCTTTTAACTAAGAGTCTTCTAAAATAATAATTTATAAAATTAAAAAGTCGTTAAAGAACTAGCTAAAAGATCGATTAATAAGAGTTATATAATAATATATATAAACGATAGTAAAATTAATAAAAGATAAGAGCTTAGCTATATTATTAGATATTAATTCTACTTTTAATATCTATTTAGACTTAAGCGACTAATATATAATATATTTAATAAAGTTATATAATATTCTTTAAGCTCTAACTATAATAATTATATATTAAATAAGATTATAATTTAATAGAGTTATAGTAAATATAAATAATTAAATATTAATTTAAGCTATCGAAGATTTAAATAAGTATTTAAGATAGATCTATATAATATAGACTATATAGATTATTAATTCGCTAAGATATCTTAAAATAGTAATAGAATTATATTAAATTTCGATATATATTAATATTAACGATAATAAATAGATAGATAGAAAGGCGAAGAAGGCTATTAACTAGCGAGAGTGAGTTATTTATAATAAAAGAGTAAAGGTAAATACTAATGAAATAGTTTAATTATTAATTATATAAATAAGAATAATATCGATAATTAAGATAGCTATTAGAGATTACGCGATAGAATAATAGATTATTAAATAAACTAATAAGAAGCGAGATAGTATTCTTAAAAGAATTTAATTAATATCGTTAAAATAAATATAACTTTTATATTCGAGAGTTAAGCGCGCTAAGACGTTGCTAATAATATAAATAAAAATCGAGAAAATAAATCTTAAGGCCTTTCTTTATAATCGATGAATATTAAATATAAAGAATAAAGAATACGAGTGTGGAGCGAAGTAGACGACTCGATATATTCTTTATAAATATAGGCTATTTAGTAAAAAGCGAGGAATATAATAAGTCGAAGAAAGAAGAAGGGAAAGAGAGAGTTATTACTTATAAAAATATGCTAATAAAGCTACGCTACGCCTCTATAGTAACGGACTTTATAAGAAATACTAAATTTATTAAGTAATATTAAGCCTTTAATAAAGATTAATAATAAGAATTTACTAGAGTAGGCGGTTAAACATCTGCAAATCTGAAAAGTTCCTGCAAAATTTGAAATTGCTGATCGCGCGTTTGTCGCGGAAATCACAAAATCCGCCGGATCAGCAAATCTGATTAGAATCCGCCCAAATTCCGCCGGTTCAGCAACTGTCCCAACCTTTTCCGCCAGTTCTGCCAGTTTAGCAGCAATACGCACGAAAAAAGAAAAGTTCTAATGATCGACGTTGCGACGGCAAGGTTCTACGGCGACGAGTATCAACGCCAATTCAAATTTGGCTACGGAATTGGACGATTCAATGAAATTAGTCGCGTGGGTGATGCTCTGGTATAGCGCACAATGATGCGCATGTTGATGATAATATATATTGATACTATATGTATATAGAATAGTACTAATACTTACTTAGAGTGTATTAGAGTGTATTACGCAAAATTTTTGAAGTTGCTGAAAATTTTTGAAGTTGCTAAACTGGCAGAACTGGCGGAAAGGGTTGGACATAGGCAAAGTCTGCTTAATAGGCTAAATCGTGCTAAATCGTGCTTATGGTGCGGACCCGGCGGAAATCGTGCGGAAAGGAACTTTTCAGATTTGCAGATTAAAAAGAAGGATATAATTAAGACGGGAGGGTCTCGACGATATAGAATATACCTCTTCTTAAGGATCAAGTATCTAAGACGTAGAACTATGACGATGACTTATATAGTCTTATTTATTTAAGACTATATAATTGGCCGAAAGGATCAGATAGATTACGTAACTCGCATAGTCGGCCACTAGGTAAGACTTCAGGGTAGTATGATGTAATCAATCAATCAAAACCTAGGCATGAACATGTACCCTCTCAACCTTGACGACGTGAGATAAGGCAGCTAATGGAATCGAGGCGCAAGTGGACGGCTCGGAGCATTTTGGTGCAGATCAGTGCATGTTATGCCAGCAATTCTGCTTTCCAGGAGCCCAAGAGCGTGAGTAAACCTATCGCATGCGCTGTACACCTTTCGTTTTCAGGCCAGCTTATCATCACATGACCGGTGCCACACGCCCATGTGACCCACAGGGACGTTGAGCACATGTGATTTTGGCGCATTGCGCGCTGAATACCACGATGATTCCATGCTACCAGGTTTGGCAGATACGCTCCAAGTTGTATCGAATCTTGACATTCACACTTTCTTACAATGCATATTGGAGTTAGCGACTGCTGCGTGCGAGATGGAAGCACTTAACGCTCGGGCATCAAGCATGATGGTGAGGCCATGCAAACCTCATTCGTGTCGCCTTGAGGCATTCATCGGACAGCTTGTAACGCTCATTGCTTGGCCGTAAGGCAGCCCTTTGATTGGGGATGGGTATGCGTAGCCTTGTGGTGATTTCCAATCCTTTTTCCGTTTTGGTATTCCTCATGCAACTCTGCGAAATCACTAAGGAGATAGAATAGTCAGAGAACTTCGCGATGCGGCACATAGGGTTCTGCGAGCAATCAAAGGCTTAAAGCGTCCGCATTGTCGGATTCTATTTTTCTTGAATGATCTGATGCGAATAAACGGCCGTAAGCTCTGAAGACATGCGGGAAATAGTAGCTTGTGCTTACTTGTCTTTGATTCGAATACTGACCAGGATGAACGCCAAGCCTGGCAGTGAGAACTTTAGCTGTCGTACTCAATGCGTAATACCCTTTGCAATTTTGTTTCTTCTTTAACATCGTTGCTAAAACTCTTCTTGTACCTTCGAATCTCCGGAAAGCGTTGAGGTCATCTGGCCAGCCGGCTCCAATGCAGGGGGCCTGCGGGACTCGCGCCGCGTTTGGATTACTCCGAAGCTCGTTGGCAACATGCCATCCACCCAAACATAGCTCGGTCACTAGCGACGAACGAGCTAAGAGCGTGGCACGATTACATTGAGAATCCTCGGGCGCTTTTTTGGCTCTCTGTTTCGTTCCCCAAGATTCCACTGAGCTCCCAAAAAAAGAAGAAAAAAAAAGAAAAAAAATCCTGCTACCAATGCTAAAACCACTGGAAGAATAGACCTTGCTGCGAGTCTCGTGAGACTTAATAGAAAGATCGAAATATGCGAGTACTTTGTCTGCACGGCTATGGGTCCAATTCCAATGTAAGCATACCTTGTTTATCTGCGGCAAGAACCCGTTGATTGATTATCGTACGTAATCCTGTCTAGGTAACAAAGTCACAAGCTGGTATGCGCGCAACACTCGAGCAGTCGGAGGTCCTATGCCGCTGAGGGAATGTTGACCAAAGCATGGTTGCTGACCAAAGTCCTTCTCCAATAGCTCCGCTAAAGCAAGAGCTGCGCCGGGTTATGGGTGATGATGCTAGACTCGACTTTACCTACCTACAGGGCCATGTAGAGTCAACACCATATCCAGGTAAAGGCCCACGATCGCTCTCCATCCCTCACACTTATGACTGCTTTTCGTAGTACTTCTGTTAATGCCATGCAATAGGAGTCGCCGAGTTCTTCTCACCTCCATTCTATAGACACTGGGATGGCGACTCCCCATCTTCTGTCCTTGCCGCAGCAGAGCTTATAGCCTCTTCGGTCAGCACCAACAAACCGGACGTCATATTCGCGCATTCTGAAGGCGGGGCCGCAGCTCTCTCCACCCTCCTCCACCGCCCACTTAGTGTCCAGTGCCTCGTGCTTCTTTCTCCATTTCCACCATTCGACGCGAGCGGGCGCAGGAGGCTAGATGTCTCGCTTTCTGGAATACCATTGGTTCGGATCCCCACACTTTTCGTACGTGGAGAGAGCGATCCGTGGGCACACTTCGTTGCCTTGACCGAGGGGCTTGTGGACGAAAGAAACTTGACAGTATACTCATGGAAAGGCGGGCATGAAGTGCCCAATTCTAGCGAGCGAGGCATGTGGGCACAGATAGCGCAAAAGATGGTGGAAGTTTTGAACAAGGAGTGATGTCTAAGTGGGTCTTGCGTTCTGTCATCCGAAGCTGTGATGCAGGCACAGCGCCATGATAATGCCCCTTTGTGACGTTCACCTGAACAAGCACCACTCTCTTCTCGCTCTTCGTCGTACCGGCCGAAGGCAGTATTATTTCCCGTTTATGTGTTCCAAGGGAAGCTGCTTGTCTCTAAGGTCTCGATACTCTGGTCCTCCTTCATGCCTCGGGGTCTTCACTTGGAAGATGTCGTTGACGGTGTTCAAGCATGCAAAGTCACATCGAGTACTCGAATTTGCATCCCGCAAACGCCTAATATTATAGTTGATAATTCCAATTTGCATCTCACGAACGCACGATCAGAGCAATTCGTGGATCACGTTACATGTACGCTCACTTTGGACCCCGGTGGGCATCTCGGTTGGGCTAATTCATTTGAATACGGAGGTCAGCACGCGAAGTTCTAGGCGCCAAGTCTCCTACACCACCAACAACTTCATCTGAAAGGATGCCTGAAGTGAATAATGCGCTTAGATCTGCTTCGGGCCTGTGGCCGATATTGGGGGTTCGCACCCTATTGAGGTGTAGTAGCAGCCTTAGCCTTTACTTTCTCTCTTCTGGGAGCGCATAGATTGAGATTCAAGGACTTCTATGAGGTACCTCAGGGCCTGATAGGGACGTTGGGCTGGCCCCGAACTGAACCATTTGCCGGTCTTGGCGCACTGCAAACAACCATACCACCACAACACAACCTCTCGAGATACGAAAACTTCACAAAATCAAGCTTTGGCATCTCAATGGCCTATTTCTCGAGTTGGATCCCATTTGGACTATTTGTGGTGGATTGAGGATTGCTGCAAATGTAGACTCAAATCGATATTCAGCCCTACTGCCAGGGCCAGCAAATTGCCTCTTACAGGTAGATGATTCGTCAGAATCACCAAGTCTTTTTATGTCATTGGACCCTGATCTTTACTAACTCTTCGAGTGTTCAGATCTTATCGTCTGTTGACGCGTTTTGAATGACCACTCCAATTTTGTCGATCAAGCTCTCATGTGCCCCTAATGCAAAAATTCTAACCGTTCGGATATCGCACTTAGAGCTGGCTTGTGTTGGAGGTTATCATTGGAGTATAGAGTACCTAGGGTTGGCAGCCGTAGGGCTGTCAGGGTCCGGCAAGAGTTCGTAGGGGGCCTTCGGCTTTCTAAGACACCTGTTGTAGTCCAGAAAAGCAAGCAGCTTGAATGTGTTGGGTTCATCGTTCTCCGAAAGTAAAAATGTGACAAGTCGTGGAACCATTTGCTACCGTGGATAATAGGAAGACGCATCATCTGAAGAGTCCCCCGATCAAGTGTTCCGAGCATATAAGCGCGAAGCGGTTCCAAGAGCATGAGGGGCCTCTGTACCCCGTACGGAGTCCTATCTTGACATGTCCATTGAGCGCAGCTCGGCAATGTGGTCTATCCTGGACGACAGGATTGCATGTACGTATACTAGACTCGTGGAGCGTCCGATGAAAGCATACTTGACGCATACTGTTGCGTTTGCGGGAACAATACACGTGTCATGAAGCAAACATGACAAAAGCGGCTTAATGAACCCGAAGGAGTTCAGGACCGACTCATTTAGGCTCTTTGCAGGAAAGTGGGCAGGCCACTCGCAGTGGTCCATTTCGCGCCAACGCACATAACCCAATTAGTCAAGCCAATGGAGAACATCGCCTCTTCACGTACCATCTTAATCCCCACCACAAAAGAAAGGAGTGATAAAAAAGAAAGAAGAGTCTCCGACGCGTTTGTCCGGCTGAAGTGCAGCTATACAGCTGCTCGATCGGGCTTCACAGAGCCTAGCCTATTGTCAGCCGAAGAGCAGGAGAAGAGGTCCCGAGCCTAATTTATTCCCATACATACGGCGGTCGCATAGCCGTCCAGCCCGTGGGAGTTTTTGCAGGTGAAGGGAGTGTCCGGTCTGGGCCAGCTGCATAATAGATCTGCATAGAACGCACGGTCTCAATCAGCTGGTTACAACATAAAGAGCGAGACGCGGCACTCCAGATGCAGCGCTCGATGGTGATTCCATATTGTTGTCCCAAATGAGTTGATGCCATTCACGAGACTTAGTGGGCCAACCCAAGTACCTGTTATCTCTCATAGCATCCGACGGCCCAAGGCTTTACGACATCATCGTTACTCTTCTGCATGTGCGCACCGACTAGATGGGGGCCTCGTGTGGCTGTTTCTGCTTTGTCTAGACCATCAGCTAGCTCAATGCTAAGGATTACCAGGATCCCGTACCGAGCAGGCCAAAGATCAATCCTAAGTGCTTGTCTTGACATTTTGTTGTTCTTTGCGATGTGACTGTTATACTATTGGACAAGGCTCCCCTTTTCTGGTTGGACTCAGTGACAGACCCAATTTGTGGGATTCATACGCATGGTTCCATAAGAGACCATTGTGCGCTGTGCAGTACGTCAAATGCATGTTTGCAGCACGACCTACCCGGAGCAGTTCCCGTCTGCAGCATTTCCGGCCTGCAGCATGGCAAGTACGCAACCAGCAGGGTCCAGAATCAAGTCAAGACTCTAAATGCAAAGCCAACAAGCCCACGCCTTTGATCCACACGGAAGGGTGCCTCGAAAAAACTTCTTGCTCGTCAGGTGCCCTGAGCGAGCACCCATGCGCCGCTCGAATGAGCTATTCTACCGTTTTCGGGCAGATTCTCACCTGAATGGAAGGAAAAGGGCTGCGAAGCTGTGCACCAGTGGCATTAGTAATCGACGTGAGGGTTCTTTGAACCCAACGGAGATAGCCAGACACAGCCAGCGGCACCAAAAATTGCGCCACTCAGGGTAGTGCCCGCGGAGTTGCAGCATTGGGCTCGTGATTGGCTGGCTGGGATGCGTGATTCACAATGACACATGCGAAGCTTTGCTCCGCCAGCCGGCTCTAGTCATGTCGGCATAACATGACTTCATGATTTAGTTTTTCTGGTCTTGAGAGTGAGTGGCAGTTGGTAAGACTAGAGAGCCACATCTTGGGCTCTACTATCTCGTTGATACCTGATATCGCAGAACTGAGGGATATGAGTACGTGATTTGCCTTCGCAAAGACGTAACTTCCCAGACCATCAAATTCCTCCAGGTGTACCTCTGATCCCAAAGCTCTCTTGCGACGGAGCTCTAGAGCCCCAATCGTTCCGTTGCATTAATCAGCGTCCCGCTAAACTCCCCACCCCGTACTATTGCCACTAGTCTTGAGAAGCAGTCCATGATTGGCAGTGCCTCAATAAGCACTCAACACACTATAGCCTTCCAACTCAATTTGAATGAACTAATATCTTTCGCGTAACAGTATTCGTAGAATAAACCTTTGCTGACAATGTTTAAGATCGCATGCTAAACAACAACTACGACACCAAAAGATTCATTGTGACTTCATTCAATGCTGAGTGGGGGCGATCTCCTCTGAGGATACTTCAAAGGATCAGAATTACCCCTGAAACGAAGACCTCGCGAGGTCATAGGATACGCAGCTTTGTTACAGCGCATCGCTGACTCGTGACGTACGTACTCTACCTGATGATCCATTGGAGAAGAAGGATAGACGGATCTCTGACCGGAAGGCTTGATCTCGCTCTATGACCTCTACTGGCACACCTATCCTTATCCGCGGCAAGTACCCGAGATACTGACCATTACAGTGAGTTCGCAGGTCAATGAGGCATACTCTAGCACCCCTGACTCAATTCAGATGCGTGCGGGCTTTGGATTCTGGCTTGGACCCGGCGATACCACATATTGTCTCCCAGTGTCACTACGCCTGTGACTCCTGCTTCCAACGAGCGAGCAAGAAAACATGAGCTGAATGCTCACATGCTTTCTACGAGTGGAAAAGTGGAGAGCAATGCGGTGATACTCTGTGCTAGGACTGCAAGTCACTCGAAGTCTCCTCGCCGGATCTCTCGATTTTCGACACTGGGCAGAGAGTTTGAGGTACAAGACGTTTGATGAGTTTCCGAAATATTTTCAGTCTAAGCCATTGAATCCCAACTTCTTTGGCACCTTTAATCAGGTATATGCGTCCAACATTCCTTGTCATGGCCTGAGGTCTGGAACGGCATCCAGGCAGGCATCTATATTTACCCGCCAAACTACACAAAGACACCCCTTTTGTTGGACAACCAATCGATCCAGCTTTGATCAAGCACACCCGCTGTCGCAATGTTGACATATGTGTTGATCCGAGGGTAGATACTTGAGCGGGTTCTGACGTACGTCCCTGAGATCTTCTTGCTGGGAACATAATGGCAACAGTCATGGCTAATCGCATGCCATTGCTAGAGACGACTACACCATCATTCGTTTGGTCCTTATTGGCCTCGTCCTCCCGAGCTTCCTTTGCCTGGCCATCGATTTTGTCTCGTTAGGCCAGAATCTATCAATTGCACATAGCAGTGGAGCAACTGGTCATGACTGCATCGTTTCCTTTACTGCTTTCATTCCAACCACTACCCTGAGGCGGATGGATGGTCACCAATATCTGCAGTCATGAGACTGACGTGTGCCTTCCTTGCATCGCCGAGTTCTTCGGGACAGACTTGGACAGCAAGAGAGCCGACCAACTCAAGTGTCCATCGTGTCCGCAGTTGCTCGGATATCAATTCGTGAAGGCCTTCGTGGATCCACAGACCTTTGCCAGGTACAATCTAGTCCTCCGTCACATTAAGAGAAACAAAGCGAGTCAAACGAACCCTTAGATACGAACGCTACACGCTAGCATCGTGGACGAAGACCATGTAAAACAGTCTGAGATCAATACCATCTACCCAGATTGTGGAGGTCTCGCATGCGTCAACTGTGATGCAGACTTCACGGACACCCACCCAAACGTTCCTTGCGCCCAGATGGCAACAGATCAGGCCGCCACAAAGTCTGCACAGGATGTAGCTTCTGCCAATTCTGCGGATAAGCGGACAAAGGCCTGCACACGTTGCAGGGTTCCGACTCAGCAGAGAAGGGGGTGCGATCGCATGACCACTAGTTAATCCGTACAATCCGGCATCTTTTCGACCTCACTCTGCTGATTTCTTGCTTCGAGGCAGTCGGTGCAACTATGAGAGTTGCTGGCGCTGCCTAACGGACCATCTCCGTGTGGTGAGGCATGGTGACCACTGCCATCGTCTCGCTCAATCGCCTCTACAACATACAGAAAGAAGCGCCCTGCTCAGAGAGCAACAAGGGGATGAAGGGTTTAGGGGATCGCACAAACAGTATACGCACAAATTCGTCGCCCTCATCAACTTCCAGTGAATTTTTCAGACGAAGATCTGAGGCTGTTTCTTCCCGGCAAGGATGAAGTCTGCAGCCTGAGGATCCGGCACTCGCAAGGCTCGGCCGTGCATTGTTTGCAAGTATGATAGCAGGCGGACTGAAAGAGATATGGATTGCCGCCGCATCAATGTCTGAGGATGTCATGTCACACTTGATCCTGTTCGTAGTTGTAGGCTCACTGGTGCGGTATGCAGAAGCACAGAGTAGTCCCAGCGTTTTATCCTTACCGCTGTCAAATGTAAGCGTATCGCCGTGATCAAAAAGACTCTGGCCCTCGACTTCTGCACTACATGCCTCCCAGATCATTCAGATCTACACATCCTGTCGACCTGGGAAAGAGCGCATGATGCGCTCACGTACCTTTCGCCACCCTTCTTGCCCGGCTGAAACTCAGCAGGGAGTCGCGCTCCATGGGAAAGGGGAGGAACTTGATAGTGCGGCAAGGTTTGGCGGTGGTGATCTAGTGTTGGCGGCGAGGGGTAACCAAGGGTCACAAAGCGAGTCATGGCGTGCTACGTCAGTATTGCAGCGGTTGATACCCATTACGTACTGAGATCTTGCAATGTCAGGAAGGTTTACACAATTGTACAAAAACGGTCACGCATGATAATGCTGTCGTGATAGTGACCTCTCTAGCATGAAAACTTACTGAGTCGAATGTCATAAGTTGCAGGCTATCGAACGCTTCTGTCTTCAAGCCTCAATTCATCATCCTTGAGATCGCTGCTGCAATTCTCTCCTTAGAGTACGACCAGATTGTGAAGACACCATCGCTCATGGCACGCCTTCCGCATGGAAACAAGCCCCATTCACTAGTTCTCATAGCTTGGTGACGTCCAAGCCTCTCAATCAATGATTTGAGCCCGATTTCCCTGTTGCCCATGCTGGTTTGAACCGCCAATATTGTTCCCGCTTTCCCAGATCCCGCTAGACGAATCCGCGGGCGAAACTCAGTGACGTGCGTATAGTTGTAGCTATCGTCCAGAACGGTCGCAGGTCCCAATGCCGGTTCTAGCTCTTCCACGATTCTCTGCATGACGTAGCATATTAGAGCTGTATTTTTGTAGCAGTCTAGACAGGATGCGTATGATTTGTCAGGATTGAAAGTCAGGTATGCAGGTCTCGGAAAGCCGCTGCTGATGATGGTGACCTTGTTGAATGCCGTCAAGGTCTTGAAGGCTCGGAAGAAGGGTGGTCCGAGCACCTCAATGATTCCCGGGCACTTATCAATGCCGAAGAACAGAAGGTCGATAGAGCAGGTCTTGCGAGCTTTGCCCGAGGCTTGCAACTTGTGCATCAACGCTATACACAGTGAATGGTCTGACGTTTGGTAGCTCCCGAAGCAGCCATTGGAACGCGGAATACTGATCGACATCCTGACGTCCCTGATGTGACGGGCAGCCAACTGTGTGGGGTACGACGACATCCTGGTTCTGAAATCTGTGATGAATTGAGCCACCCTCAGGCTGTAGTTGATGTCCATGCACTCGAGCTCCCATAGGCTCGGAAGCGCGCAGAAGGAGAAGGTGTGTTCCGAGTAAAAGACTTCCATCGCTTCGACCCCGCATGCTTGCGAGGACCGGAAAATGGCGACGTCTACAGGAGGGCGCTCAGGGATTTTGACATAGTATAATCCATCCCGGGAACGGAGGACCCATAAAGGCGTGAGGACTGCGACGGGCTCGCAGAGAATTTCGTGCCAAACCTGGCGCCTGATTTCTACTGGAAACGCCGATAATGTACCGAACGCTGATGGCGAGTCCATGATGAGAAAGGCAGATGGAAGATGCTGTTGATTTATGGAGTTGCTGTCGTTATTAGCCATGAGAGTTCACCAATGTGTAGCCAATGCCGAGACACGAAGCGAAATGTTGAGGAGGGACCATATCAGTTGCTGTGGTTGGTGGGATCGATGTAGGGACTTGGAGAGCCATTGAAGATGGAGTGTTAAGGAGATGGAGCCTCGCGGGTAAAAACAAAAGCCTGCACACTAACCAAATGGAGACTAATAGCGATCCCCTATCAAAAACACACACAAATCCTCTCTTTTTTCCTTCTTTCTTGAAAAAAGCTATGTCGTCATCTAGCAGATATGCATTATAGAAAGAATAGTATATTCATATATACGCCATCGTTTTTATAAACAATTTAAAAATAGAAAATCTTATCGAAGATTGAAAATAATATTAATATCCCCGTTGTGGCGAGATGAGAGACTAGAACCCACGCCTAAAATTAAAGGAGAAAGAGCGAAGGCGAACAGATTTTATCGGCCAACGAGATTTAATTGATGGATTGCAATGGAAGTCTAGATCTACAATTTCGAAGGGGGTGCGGAGGGGGAAGCGGTGCTATTGTTGTATCACTATGTTGCGGTACGATTTTTACCTATGGGGTCGCAATGTCTATTATGTCATGTGCTCTCATGATCTTCTCAGATCTGTTGTAATCGACCTTAAGCAGAAGGCTAATGATGGGATTTGGAAGGTCCAGGTTCAATTCAGGGAGAGACGAGCGAAGGAGAGCAGGCTGTAATTTAAAGATGTGGGCTGACCGAAAACGGTTTGTGATGAGCGGCTTTCTCTCGGAGGGTCTTGCACGTACGATATCGTCATGATCGAATCCTCAGATCCTCGACTCGGAGATGACAGCTAAGGGTTTCGAGATCCTGTTAGTGTCGAAGCGGTACAACTTCTCGATATGCTGACATGATCCGAGCCAGCTAGAAGTTCTTGCCATTGGACGTTCGGACTACAGCAGTTTTGATTATGAAAAGACGGCTCTTTCTTGGAGTTTTATCGGAAATTGACGTAACAAGACTAATACCCAGAATCTGACAATAGCCTTTGCTGTCGTTCTGCGAGGCCCTTCTCAACTTAGGCTTCTTTGTCCACGCACCCTGTTGTAGAGGGGGTTTTGTTAGTCTTATTCTCTCTTCATGCAAGACGACGTCTGTTTCCATCTCGAAACTTTGTAGCCCTCCTTATGAAACAGCTCTGACTCTACCAATTCCGTAAGTACAAGCAGCAATTCTCCCATTCACTGACGACACGCTTTGGTCTCTGATGGCGCGGTCACTCGTCCCACGCCTCGATGTATGGGGCGCAGCCTGGTGGTATCGGATCATCAGTCGTTGGGCGGAACTCCACACAACGTAGAAGATCACGGTCGTAGTAGATGCAATTCCCAAGATATGGTTCCAATTCGATCTTTATAGTCCTCTTCAAAGCCTCGAATCTTTCTCCTGCATACATCGGCTCTTCAGGTGGTTCATCCTTTACCTGAGGATTCGGTCCATGGGAAGCCGGAAGCTGGATGGCCTGGGAATCTGGCAAGTCTCCAAGCTCCACAATCACTGTGCCGAAGCCGGTGAAGGATTTGAGTGCATACAGAAGCTGTCTACAGACCGGCGTGAGGTAAAAGGTTTCTGGAGCAATGTTTATGATCCTGATCCGGCAAAATTCGTGGTCGGCGCCAGAACCCCCAAGTGCCTCGAACCATTCCCCGTAATACGAATCGAAATCTCGTGGATCTGTTCCTGGTAGAGTAATTGGGTTCGCTAGGTAAATAGCATTGTCTAGAACGATTTCCATTTTCTGGATGCGGGCGAATTCTCGTGGATCCGGGGGTGTCACAAGGCGGTCTCGGTGTTTGGAGAGGTAGGCACGGAAAACGCATTCCTTATAAAGAACCTCTTGTAATTCGTTGCTGATGGTTCTAGACGCTCGCAGCAGACCGGCGTATGCTGGAGGAGAATAGTCGAGCTCGCGGTAGTAAAAGGCGCTCAGGGGTTTGTCAGGGGAACCCTCAGCGTCAACGAGCACGTACTTTTTCCCTTGGACCATATTGATGTAGATCTGATCCCTGATCTCTCGAGGGACCTTGGACCAACTATTCCCAGCCATATTTCCCGATCTTGACCGTTCAGTGAAAGATGGCGGAAGAGTGTATCGAAGCGGCAAAATAGTCTGATCGGAATTGAGGAGTTTTGGGCAAGACACAAGCTGTGGTAGGTAAAGCTCACTGTTTGGGCGTCAGTGGTACACTCATCGAAGTGGAGACAATTCACTGACATTGCCCATTTCAATCCTGACACCGAGATTGTTGATAGAAATCAGTGCAGAGATTCACCAAACTTTTTTTCCAACAGTTTGCAAGTGCTCTGGAGATGGACGAAAAAATTGCGCTGGAGCCAAGCTGTTCTAATTTGTGCTTTCGCTATCCATGTGCAAGCGGTACTCGAGCCGGAGTGTGGATAGTCTGTCAAGATGGTTAGCTTCGATGGCAACAAACAGATGTTTGTAACACAATTGGACAGAGGTGCGGTTACCTGCGAAGGATATTTACAATTCCGTAAAAAGACTCACGAATTTGCTGCGAAGGCTCACTAATCTGAGATGGGAGTTCACAAATCTGAGAGTCCTCCTTCACAAATTTGTGATTTGATCAGGTGGATAAGGGTGAACGGTTATCCCTAACGTGACACAGTAAGATGGCAGATGAGCCTTGCACTTGTGTCGTGCCTTGAGATTAAATGTGGAAGGATGATACCTTGCAGAGAACACCTGCGACTTGGCCCTATTTTGGGGGTGTACCGAGAAAAAACGAACGAACCGCAGACTTCCATGGACTTCTGCCGAGACGCAGGATTATGACCTTCTGACCAATGAGAAGACTTCGGTTGCTCGACAGAGAAAAGACGGCTTTCTTTCTCCTGAATTCAAAGGGCATCATTATGTTCCCGAGAACAATAATATATGGCTTCAACTTCAGCAGCCACCTATGGCTCACAGTATATCACCCTTGACCAAGACTTTATGATTGCGCAACGCAGATACAAGAGCCAGCTCGGGCCGGTAATTGCAAAAGTAAAAAGCGAATGAAGTTCGCTGTTCAAATGAACTTTGGCAGCCTGGCCTACCACCATCACACACCGCAGATCGTGATGTTAAGGGAGTTTCGAGTAGTAAGGTATTCTCAACCCTTTCCCACACGCACCACGCATAGCTAGAAGAGAACTTTAACGACTGAGTCGAAAACAGGCATGCTGCGAGACACATTGGCGTTCGTGGATGCTAGCTTCAGCCAAAGTACAGGATTTTTGGTTATTAAACCGGAAACCTTCGGCACTCGATATCTGAAATCGCTTCAAACAAAGGTTTTGCTCGATATGAACTCCTAGTATCTTTATTGACATCGTTACGCTGTAACGGACCCGTGGATATGACTGCAAACTTACCGGCAGCAAGCCTATATATGCGCATGACCAGTCGAGTGCATGTAATCAACTGTATGATCCAGGCTCCTGGCTGACCGACAAGATCCTAGACATATATTACAAAGATGGTTTCATGGTTCTCAACTTCGGGAAGAAGTCCGCTGCTGCAATCGAAATCAGCAGCGATCCGCGTTCGGCAAGCAGTGCCTTTGAGATCTCTACAGCAGAACCAGGGTCGCTGCACTCGAAGACACGCAGACAAGTGAGGCATTTTCCTTATTATTTTCGAATCAGTCATCGTGGTCGCCTTCTGCTCAATGAGGCCCCATCTCTCCGGATACGGAGGAAGCTAGTGGCTCTTGACACTGTTGTCGTGCAAATATCAATGCAAGAGGTCAGATGGTATGATCATCCATCCTTGGTCCTACCAAGCCATTGATCAAAGCATTGATGGTTTGCTGGAAGGAATCATTTCATGAAAGAGGAATATAGATTGGCGCTAGACGGTGCGCTAGGCTCTGTCACGATTCATGACCGAAATTGCATTAAATATCTCGGATTCCGTTCTCGGGACTCTCGAACAGGACAACCCTCATGCAGAGTGACGACGCTGCCACTTAGGAAGCGTTCTTCCACCGGAATTTCCCTCGATTAAAGAAGAGGATTATAAAGAACGTTAACCCATCTGGTTCCAGCCCGCAAGTCTTGCATGTGCGGAGGTCGACGCGTCAGCTATGAGACCACTTGCTATCGCAGGAGTGTTCTCGAAAAAAGTATATGGTACGAGCCTAATTACGACGATTGACATCATCGAGCTAACCTCCTATCCGCGAGAAATACCAGAGATCGATACTAGCTTGGCGATTGCGCCGTGGAGATGCATCGTTGCAGGACGTTCATCCTGGCATCTTTCCGAGGCCTACGAGCGTGTTGGCTCATATTGACGTGTGGTATGAGCATTTGACTCGTACAAGCCGGGGTAAGTAGCTATGAACATCCTACGTAAACTATGTTGGCATCTGGGTTCCTTGCCCCTATCACTTTTACACCTCCCTATCCAAAGGCTCTAATAGTACGAGTCTTTTTGCGTCGACGCTGACTAAAACAAACCAGTCGCCTCTCTATGACCTCAAACCAAAACTCCTACGATACGCACTTTCTCCCTGGCCCAGGGAGATATATACCCCGGCGTTGGCTGCATTCCTCGCAAGATCGGCTGTCTTGGCATATAATAAGTCTCGCAGGCCCCATAATCCCTGCAGCAAAGACTCTATCAGTGCTTTACTAACTAAAGAACACAGCTTTGCAAAAGCAGGGTCGCAAATCGGACTGACGAGAATCTTTAGGCAATTCGAAATTGAGCTATCTAACGTGGTGAGGGAGCAAGATATCGATCATACTGGGGCGTATCATTCGAGGGAACCGGATAGGAAGGGGGTGTGATTGAGGGTTCAAAATCATGAAGTGTTTGTGAAGTCCAATTGTAATTTGTCACCCTACAATAGTAGTTCTGGGAGGGTTGCAAAACGTCTTTGTCTCGAATACCTCGACCATTGAATACAGTGAAATCTTCGGAACCATGAGCGAGGAAACCTCTAGTAAATCGTGTGGGAAGACGAAGGCCGCATACTGGGATGGTACTAGGGCCAAAATCAGTACCGATTTACGGCTGGTGCTGGGTGAATGGCGGCTTCGTTGCCTTGAGGCCCGCCCACGGAGATACCTGGCCCACAAAGCCTCAGTGCCATGACGTCAACATCGAACCCTGGGGCATCATGATCGCAGTCTGATTATCGACCCGACAGTGGTAAGATGAGGGTCGATGACTCAAAACCCGCACTTTGTGCCAATGGCTGATGCAGCTACTGAGACTCATTTTCGGCAATGTTCTTGGGCCCTCCTATGAGACCTATCTAGTTCGCAGAAGGGCGATGTGGTACTTGGATTAATGATTCCACAGTGCCCCAATGACTGACTGTGTTGGGGTATGTCACGGGTACAACATTATTAGTTTTGGATATGCGCATAGGGGCTACCAGTTCAAGTCCTCGATAAGAGGTCACCGTTCTCATAGTTCGAAATCCAGTCTAGTTGGCTCTTGTTACCCATTCTACGTATTAAGATCAAACGGGCACCAGAACATTGAACAGTACAAACACTGTAGCTCCCGTGAGACCGGATCCCGACACCAAGTCTCGATCAGTCACTACACGTTGAAGTTGTATGATTTTCTGTATGACCAAGAGGTTCTCATGGGCTGCGGTCAACACATACCCAGCGCCAGATGCTGCCATATGGACGCCAAGTCTAGGACCCTCCTCTTATCTTCAACACAGCGGACTTAACCACAATTCGTCATATTACCTCCCACAGAAAAAATTATGTAGGGCTTGCGCAACCAGACCATCTAAGCGCGCCACCCCCGTGACTAGCATCTAAACCCGTGAAGAGCTATCACGATGCCGATTTCTCCAAAGACAGTATCCGATCTTAAGAAGATCACTGACCAACTCGACTTTCTACTCACCGTCTTGGATGTCGAAGTCGGTGACATACCCGCAGACCGGAGAGATTGCTTCATCTGTCAAGAACCATTTGAAAAGACCGTATGGAAGAAGAAGGGAGACAGCATCAACAGTCCTGTCAAGCTAGACTGCGGGCACATCTTCGGCATCAGTTGTCTCGCCAAATTGGTCTTCACCTCCGACTTCAACAACACATGTCCACTGTGTCGCGCCCGGATTATTCCGGACTCATATGAGAAAACAACGAGCTACCGAAGCTGGCAGGTGGCTGCCCCACTCCTGCAACTGTTTACGATACTCGACAGGGATGTGGCTTCTGCCGCCAAGGAACAAGCTTTGGGCTTCTTGCAGAGAGGATTCGAAAGGGAGAAATTGGTCCCTTTGCCGGGAAAGCATACGGAGCGCACCATGGTTCTATACGAAGAGTTCCTAAACCAGTTCTGCGATTTCCCACCACCAGTCGAGGATGGGCGCCGCCTGGAAGCCGCAGAGGAAGGATCGCGAAATCTCAGGCGAGATCTCAGGCGTCACCTGGCCATACGAAGAGAACTTGATGGCCGGTACGAGCGGTCAAAGGCTCGGATGACGGAAATTCACAACCTCACTGAGCAGAAATTGAAAAGGTCGCAGCAGGCATTGAATGGGGCTCGGGAAGCGTTGAAGAGGTCGACTGGGTTGTTTTTTCTGTATGGAATGGTGGCCACTCTTACCTTGTTGGGTCTCTGCGGGCGGCTTTCCGGAAGCTTGGGTACGCTGGTGACGCTGTACGAGCGCCCGTCCAGGATCCTTCTACGGTTGTGGTTGATCGCCTGCACAATTGCTAGTAGGACGACTTTGGCTATTCTCAGCCTGGTAACGCTCGGCATACCCTTCGAGTAGAATTCGGCAGCGCGAAGGCTCTGGGGGGAAGTCCTCTTTGTCTTGTAGTTCTTCAAAAAAGGTCTCGATCTTCAAGCATACCTAGTTTGAGTCTAATGAGGGAAAGTCTTGAAATGCCTGTAGTCAATCTATTTGTTTGATGTTGAAAATGGCATGGTGACGTCGATGGATCAATTCCTTTCCGAATTAACAATAGCCGTTTTAGGGTAATCACCGCGATAGGTGAAAATTATTCCATTCTGTTCCGTATCATGTTGCGGTTGTCCGTATGTTGACACGGTGTCTGGCGACAGTGACAGCGCATCCTGTGCAACCTTTGAGACCAGGTACGCAAAAGTGTACGGTGGTGAGATTGATTCCACCCTAACCTCTACCCAAACAATACTAGAACACCCAGCTGTATACGATGAATTTCATTGTCCTCAACACCGGTCCTGGCCGCTCTACTGTACGACTAGCCAACTCTCTTGCTGTCAACACACTGATGTATCTGCCTTGAAATACCACATCTTACTTCTATTTCAGGGATCATCAAAAGCTTTCAACCACCAAAGGCTGCCAACCTCATCACACCTGGAATACTAGAGCGCTCCACTCAGCTCTTCCTCCCTCTTAAAAGCAAGAAAAAATCACCATGCCGATCTCTTCAAACACCATATCCGAACTTCAAAAGACCACAGCCCAACTCGACTTCCTCCTCACCGTCTCCAACATCAAAATCAAGAAAATCCCAACCCATTATCAACTTTGCGTCATCTGCTTAGAACCATTCGACAACAACGCGTGGAAGTTCGGAGACACAGTCAACAGTCCCGTACAGCTCGAATGCGGCCACATCTTCGATATCCAATGTCTGGCCCACCTCGTCTTCACATCCGACTTCACCAACCGCTGCCCTCTCTGCCGCGCGCAGGTCATGCCGACGTCCTTCGACAGAAACCCCAGTGGTCAAAGCTGGAAGGCGGCCGTTCCGCTCTTGCGCCTCTTGATGATGTTCGGCGGCGATCCGGCGACATTTTCCAAGAAGAACGCCCTCGATGTGTTGCTGAATGGACTGGAGCGGGAAGGGTTGACCGGCACTGTGGCGGGCAAGCATATGCATCGTGTCATGTTCTTGTACGAAGAGTTCTTGAAACAGTTCTGTGAGCAGGCGCAGCCGACGGCGTTGGAAGACCTGAATCTTTCTGCGGATGAGGAGGCACGGATGCAGGATTATGTTCGGGAACGAGAAGAGCTCGAGCGGGGGCTGGAAGAGTCGCGGGTATCGTTGGCGCGGCGGCAAGAGCTGGCTAGGTCCGAGGCTGAGAGAAAGTTGAAGGATGTCAAGGAGGAACTGCAGGTGGTCGAGGAGGAGCTACAGGACGCGGAGGAGGCATTACACGAAATCAAAGAGGAAGTGCAGGAAGTCAAGAAGGAAAGGAGGAGGTTTAAAAAGGCGTTAGAGGGTGTCACAAAAGAGTTGGCAGAGGTTAAGGGAAAGGCTCAAGAACAACTAGGAGAGGCCGAGAAGGAAGGCCAAGATCTCAAGAAGCAATTGGAGTGTGCCAAGAACGAAGTAACTGAGGCCAAGGAGCAGGCTCGGAGGGAATTGGAGGGTGCCAAACAAGAATCGAAAGAGGCCATGGAGAAGGCTGTGACGGAATCCGGGGAGACCATGAAGTCGCTGAAAGCGAAAGCCTCACTGGCTTGGTTCTGTGCCGCACTCGGTCTGGAAATCGCTCTGGGTCTGGCGTGCTTTTACCGCTAGAGCCAACGATCTCATGAGTCGTACTGTTTCTTTTATGGATGCTGCACACACCAGATCCCTCTTTGTGGTATATCAGCACATGTTGGGCTCGGATTCGTTTTCGTCGAGGGCAGTAAAGGATAAGGATGGCTTGAGCTGCAGGTCCCCAATCATGAGCCGCCGCAGAGGGAATTGCAGTATTCAAGATTACTTTCCATCTCTTGTCGCGCTTGACGAAACTGATCACCCAAAAGCTCTAACCACCGATCCCACATCCCCGCCTTTCTCCGTCCGTGAATGACACCCAGTTTTCATTACACCATCTTTCCAACGATAATACTTCCGAGCCCGTGAAACACAGACAGTCACACTTCAGCACCGATCCCAAGCAACTTGTCCGCAATGACCCGAGCCTCAGTCCTCACGCAGCCAAAAACGGTTCGATTCCTCACACGAGATCCGAGACAAAGATCTTTCGCCGCGAGTATACGGTGCGCGGCCCCCGATACTCCCTCCGACTACAGCCGCGGCTCCCGCGCAATGGAAAGAGCTGTCTCACGCACACAAAGCCTCGAGCATGAGCTTCAGGATTCCCAACCCGCCGCACACCACATCACACCCATCCTTGCCACCCAGACTCCCTCAGAACGACATGACACCATCACCACCACACCATATCCAACCCATCTCTACTCGTCCTCCATCACCCGCCCATCCATCTGCCACACCTAACTGCCAAGCGCACACGTCAACGCCTGAGATGGATGCGGATGGATGTATTCGTGCTTAGCAGTTGAGCCGAAATAGGTGATAGGAGTCTGGTTCTGCTCGAAGACGTGAGATGATGAGGCTTTGTTGACACGATGCTCTCTGTAGACAAAATGAGTCTCCGCTCTTTGTGCACTACAGTCAACACTCCTCGACTCGATCCAACACCATTCATAAAACCCACAATCTCCACACTCCCACCATCATTCAACCGATCTCCTAACAACCATCTCACAGCAAACCGTGCGATCACGTTCCCCCACCCGAAAAAAAATCCCAACTGATATCTACCCTAAATCAGACACCATGTCAATCACCCCGACCGGCAGCACCAACCCAATCGGAACCCTCTCCTCCCTCCCGCCCGAACTCCGAGACCAAATCTACGACCACGTCCTCGACGGCAGCTACGTCGTCTTCTGGACCTCCCACCACAACGACGGCCACGCCTCGCCCGACGGCGTCAACCCCACCGTATCCGCCGACCTCGCGATCCTCCACGTCTCAAAGGCCCTCGGCGCCGAAGCCCGCGCCCGCCTCTTCTCCAACGCGACCATTTTCGCCTACCTCATCCGCTTCGACGGACACGATCGCCTCTCCCGTCCGCCGCCGAAGGGAGCCACGGAGAAGATGACGAATGTGGAGTTCGTGATTGACACGGGGGCACCGCTGGAGGGGGAGTCCGTCGGTATGATCGAGGATGAGGTGGAGTTTTACGGAAGAAGCGCGTGGGGGGCTGATATGAACCCGGTTAGCATGGACGATGGGAAGGTGAGGCGCCCTCCGACGGTCTATCGTCCCGCAACCATGGATCCGAGATGCGAAGCCTCGGTCGACCACTTCACAGGAACCGAGATTGAACGAAACGACTTGCTCGTCACGTTCAGAGATTTCGACGAGAACTTCCATCTCTTCACGGCCACACGCTTCTTCCAGACCCTGAAGGAGTGCGTCGGATTCCGGACCGTCACGGTGGGGTTGGAGTGGTGGCAACGTGACGGTTGGGTTGCAAACACGACTGCGGTGGCCGAGATGGTCGAAGGACTGCGCGTGGAGTTGGAGCAGTGCTGGGGGCCCTGTGTCGTCAGTGATGTGTTCGATCAGTACACGGAGACGACTGCGGGGCCGGATATGAAGTTGTGCTTTGCTTTTGAGCTGGCGTTTCAGCCGCGAAAATACCGCGGGGAGAATCTTAAGGCTGGAGCCGTTGGGGTAATGAAGGGAGGAGATTAGCTGAGCAACTATGAGCCGCAGGGAGGCAATACAGGCAAGACTCAAGTATGTATCAAGGAACTCGAACACTTTTTAGCGAAATAATCGGGCTGATGCTGAGCGTCAATACTTACAATCGAAAGATATCGTAAAGGTGCTAGGGATGGCCTTGTGTACCTCCTCTGCGACCAAGCTTCAGGTACGCGGGGCAGCTAAATTTGGGACTGTAGCCCCCGTCAGGCTTCCCTCATCGCTCCCGGAATTGCGCTTATGGCACGACTGATGTCTGAAATGGTGCTGATAATCGGCGAAATGCCAGAAGCATGTGTCTGTCGTACGCCAGCGGTCAGCTGCGGAATGTCGTCTCATGGCAGGGATTTTGCACTGTTAGAATACATATAGTAGGCTGAATGCGCATCAGACTGTGAGATGGTGACATTCCCGAGTCTGGAAAGGTTGCGCATCGTCAACGACCACCGCTTGGAAGGAACTTGGCGGCCGCAAAGCAGCCCGAGTCAATATTAAATCCACAGTGATAGATCTAAAAGACTTGGATAGGTTGGTATATGGGGGAAATCGGAAAGACCTTCCACGTAGAATGTGACTCTCGAACGCCGAGCAGTAATGACACACATCCAAGGTTGATACTCACAACCAGTTACTGCACCTTCTTTCCCCCCTTATACCTTACCCCGTGACTAATCCAGAGATATTTCTTAAACAAATCCTCTGCGAAATCATCAAACTTCTCATACTCCGCCCCCAGTCTGTACGCCGCTGCAATACCACTTACACACGCCATTTCGTGCATGTTCACCAGCGTCCAACTGCCCGCAAAGAACGTATTGTTTTTGCCGTTAATGAACATCATGCCTGGCACGACCCTGACGTAGTGCTGCCAGCGGTGACCGAGCTGGTGCCACCATTTGCGCTCAATGATCTTGGATTCGTCGATTTGGTCAATCGTCCAGAGATCAGAGTGGGTTTTGTCGAGGAAGATAGATTGGAAGACGTGATTGTCGTAGGGGATGGGTGCTTTATCTGCATCATGATCCATGCGGAATTGGTGCTGGTAGTTTGTGCAGTCGAAGGCCATCTCGATCTTTTTCATATCTTCGGGGTAAGAATGAGTGTAGTACATCGGTCTGTACCCCGATGGCTCTCCATCTTGTCCTTTTTGCTCGTTCTTAGCGAAGGCGATCTGGTCTTCCTGTTGTTTGTTCTTGGGTTTCGCGCAGAGCTCGGGATTGAAGTGTGTCTCGTAATTCTCTTTGAAGTATTTGGAGTCGGAGTGGGTGATGGTGATGTCGTCGAAGAAGTGAGCGCCACCTAGAACGAATTTCTCGCGCCAGGTGGCGGTCTTGCCGAGAAGCTTTTTAGCGTCATCGGCGAGGACGCACATGACTAGGTTGTCGAAAGTCTCCGTTGTAGATTCTGGACCTGTGTGGCCGCCAGCTCTCTGACCCGAATCTGTCTTGCCCTGTTCGGGATCGAATGGCGCAGTCTTGAGCACGACGCCCTTTTTTGAGCGGGATACTATCTCTGTGACATCGGTGTTTGTACGTATATCCACGCCTTGCGATTTCAAATCGGCAGCCCACTCGCCATAGAACTTTTCCAGATGCGGAAAGGTGACCATGAGAGGCAGGTTGGGAAGGAGAGTTTCTGAGTCGTAGTCCCAGAGCTTCATGTTGGGATCATCAAAAAGACGTTCGAGAATTGCGCAGGAGACGTTCGCCGTTTGGTTTCCTGTCCACTGTCAGCTGCATTCTGTGAGGGAGTCGAGAGGACCGAATGTACCGGTTCCAAGGAAAAGTGCAATGAGGGGAAAGACCATCTTGTCACCAAAGTCCTTGTTGAAAAAGAACATGCGCAGCATGATCCTGATGGGCACGATGCCCAAAACCGGCATCGTCCACTTGATCAGCTTCAGGACCTTGCCGAACTTTTTGATGTCGCCTGAGAATTGGTCCACCAGATTGCTTGGGAAGCAATTCGTCCAGAAGCCGTCCTTGCCTTTGCCGAAAGCGACCTGTAGCTTGACATCTTCGGGCTCATGGCCATATCTCTTGAAGAAGTTGAAGGTATGCTTGAAGGCCGGGGAGCCTCCCTGGACGCCATCGTTCATCCATGATGTCCCATATTTCTCCTTGTCGATGGGTATGGATGTCGCCTGACCGCCGACTACGGACATACGTTCGATGATGGTGACTTTGTATTTGTTTGGGTGCTGGGCGAGGGTGGCAGCGCAGGACTGGAGGCCGTGTCAGTCAGTACCCGATGGCGGTGGGAAGCTTCGGAGAATTCTCACCATTCCTGCAGCACCCCCGCCGACGATGACAACCTTCTTCTTGCTCGTGCCATTTTTGTCATTACTCAGGAGTCCTTCAGAAGACATGGTCACAATTGTAGAATATTCTGCTGGGGATTGACGAGCGACTGGGCGTTGGCCGTGAGCAGCAGCAGCTCTGTATTGAATGGGTCAAGAAGTTGTGGGGGGCGGGAAGTCAAGGACATGGTGAACTTGTACTTTGCCATATTTTGCCCCCTTGTACATTTCTCTTCTCACGTGCTGAGTAGCTCAATTTGGGGAATGATGATGGAATAATGACGCCGGGATTGCGACACCATCCCCTTTTTGACATCCTTGGCGTATCTTGGCTTGTCTTGGCACGTCTCGATTGAGACTAGCTTGCATGAATGAGATTGGCGAGATTGGGTTGTAGATTGACTTTTTTGTGCTTTTATGCAACGGCACTAAGGTACGCTTGACATCGGGATAATGGCTTCTTAGGGTCTAACCTCCAAGTCATGAACGCCAAGGCTTTTGCGCCAAGATCTCGACCTACCTTAGACAATGCGCTTAGCTTCTGCCAGGTTCTTCAGGAGTGAACCCTTCTTTCTCAATCTTTAAATCCTTCTATCACTTCGTTTCTAAGTACACAGCATCTTTTCCACACGAGTCCCAGTCTGAATTGCAAATCCACATTCTCTCTGAAGACTAATGCCACATGAATCAAAATCAACGCCTATGATGACTTAGATGTCATCAAAGACAAACAGGCGCCTTCCTATCAATTCTCACTGGCCATCTTTCTGGGCGCAGGTGGATGTCACCCCCCCACCTCACTCACACGATGAAGACTTGGCTCCAGAGACAAGACAAAATCTCCAATGACTGTGCCTCTATCCGAGACAATCGCGCTACCAGGCCTCAGAGTCTTTTCTGTCTCCACATCGATCACAATGACTGTCTCAAGGTCGTCTTTGGTGAAACGCTGGATGTCGAGTCTATACACTAAAGCTGATCCATGGAGCTCTGAGACGATGATCGCTGCTGGCACTGTGACTCGGTCGTGGATTCTGTTCAGGACCTCTTCTCGTCCGAGGAAATCAGGGAAGGATACCGACAGGTTCTCGAAAAGGGCTGGCGTGCATTGAATAATCTGTACTTCTTTAAGGTCTGTGCATTCTTGAGTCGTCGCAAGAGCGCTCAGAGTCTCCGTGCGCCAGATATAGACCGTCTGGGAATCTGATATAATTAGACACAGCACAATGGCGAGAGGGTCTGGGAGGCGTGCTCTCAAACTACTTGGTGGCTTGAAACCGCCATCCCGTGCTTGATAGTCAGCAGCATGCCCGTATAATCCGCCGAAAGTCCCAAGGGGTAGATGTTTGAGTCAAACACATGTTCTCACAAGTAGCGATTGATCTTGTGTCTGCACAGGTATTCGCCGGCTGATGGAAGCATTTGTAAGAAACTTGCGACGTCTGAGTTTTTGCCTGCCGGAGATAAGGAAAGATTCATGGGCGTCTGGGTTGGCCTTTTCGAAAGCGGGGGTCTCGCTGTCGATCCAGTTGATGAGCTGTTCGCTGAGCGACTCAAAGGCGCCGATGATGCTCCCGTCAGATATCCGACATACGGGCTGCAGTCTGAACAAATCGTCCCTACAGACTTCCAGTTCTTGCTCAGCTGTCGTCATTTTCTCCCGCAATTCCCTCGCCTCTGAAACAGCATTCTGCTGGAGCATTTTGCCTTCCTTTTCCTGGCTTTCACAGGCATAAAGAAGTCTATTGTAACACCCTCACAATTCCTCAATCTCCTTGTCCTTTTCGACTAGCGTGCCTCTAAAGCCGTTTGAGAGCCCGAGCATATCCCTGTCTTTCTTCTTTGATGCCTCTCGCCTGGTGCTCGGATCATGGAGCGGATTTTGCATCGCGTCCTCTTCCCGCGAAAACTTTCCTTTGTAATACGCACGAGGTTCACAAATCCTCAATTCCGTCCTCCTGCAATTGTTGGCTGAGCACATGCTCCTTCGTTGTCATGGCCTTCGCTGGTGGAGCTTTGAGACGTTTTCCAGTGCGCTCCTCTCTTCCGGGCAAAATTTGGTATCCCGGAGTCAAGGAAAGGGGTTGCAATGCCGAAGATGCTGGGATGGCCATGGGGCTGCGCGCCCGCTTCAAAGCGCGCGAAAATTTTCCCCATTGCAAACGTGTCAATTGTCAAGAGGTTTGAATAGGAGTGAACTGGTCGTTAGGTCTCATGAGTGATGCTCATCTGCAACAGACGGTGTGGCCCGACTGGTGGACGTCAGAGCGGACCTCACCCTGATCTCCGCTTGCAACGTTCCCCAGAGTAACCGGCGCTGACGGGCGCTCATACTACAAAGTCGCCTTCGAGGTTGAAGATAAAGTACTACTCGGCCTACACGAAACTCGAGCTCATCTACAATGGCAAAATTTACGGACCGTTCCATGCGGACTGTGTCTGGGAATTGCCTGGTTGGTCTTCAGCGTGAGCGAGTTCCCATTGCGGCCGAGTGGTAGAATGCTTTCCCCCCCCTTTCCCCCAACTCTAGTCTGAAATCGCATCCCATTTACCAATAGAATGAACCAGAATCGTCCCTGCTATCTGTATATCTGGGGAGCATGATAAGATGGCCATATTATGTGAGCGCACGTGTCTTATCAGCTTCTGGGTATCGGGCCCACTTCGGTCGCCACTTTCCTGTCAGTATCAGTCTGTAGTGCCGGCTCCATTGTGTGTCCGAAAACACACAAACTTCATCCAGCGTCTAGAAGCCTGGGTTCTCCGTTCCATTTTCCAGTCTCCTTTCTGCTAGAGTTCAATCAAAGCTGGCTGGCCTGAGTAAATAGCGCTGAGATGGTCCCGAAACCTCAGGTGCGCTGAATAACGTTGATTCGCTTACGCAGCGCCATAGAAAGCTTTGAGAAATCTTGGAGCGCGTTGTGAAAAAATCCCACACACTTCTGTCACTGTGTTTCGCCCCGTAGCTTCCACAGGTACACCGGTCGCGGAGGAGCCTCAGTCATAGTGGAGAAATCCAACAATCAACAAAAGTTTGAATTTGATAATGTGTTGCGAGAGTCATGGTAGATTCTCCTTCCGTCTAGTTTGGGATCCTACCTTCGTCACGATACTTTTGAATGCGCCTCAGAATCTCCTCAACGTCGGTCCATATCCGTTGCCGATTCCGCAGGCCATGAAGCTCGTCCGCGTGCGTCATGATCTCATAGTAGACCCGACACCAATTCGGATTCTCCGCTGGAAGCGTTATCGGCGGCTCCTTTGCTGCTGACTGCAGCGTCGCGTAGGACGTCTCGGGCCAAGGCTGATCGCGGCTCCAGGACTCCCCTATCTCTGCAATCTCTTCTTGAACGATGTTGACCTCCTCGGAGATGTACCCTTCTAATTCGTCTCTTCTCTTCTTCTCCGCGAACAAAGCAGGTAGTGACATTGTAGCCCAGAAATAAGGCTCGACATCATCCCAGAGCTCCCAGAGCCAGGGCATGTCTTCCTTGAGAAAATTTCTCCAATGCGAAAGCGGTAAGTATGTCGCACATGACGCTAATCTCAGACTGGCTCTGTCAAGCGGGCTGAGGAGACCGAGAACGGCGTCCGAAAGCTCTCGCGGTAGCTTCAGGAATGGATCATCTGGACTTGGTTGCGTCTGTGCATAGCTCGCAGACGGTGGAGACCACGAAGATTGCAGGAAAGAACGTAGCGATGGGACGAGGACTGGATTCGCGACAATCCATGCGTCACCGGATCGATGGTTCCATTCTTGATCCCTTCCTCTGCATACGGCCGGATGACGAGGTGGCCCATCGCTACGTTTCCAGTTGGATTCGAGCATGCGCCACCCAGCCAGTCCATCAATATCGACGCGACCAAGACGGAACCGCGAAGCGCGCATAAATACCTCGAAACAGGTCGGGTGGAAAGGCATAGGCGTGTCAAACTCAGTCCCCTGAACGAGAGGTGTCAGCACGTTAGCGACTTGTTGCAGAAATGATCCGTCTCTAGACGTCATAACTTACATCATGGCGAAGCTCTGTGTCCGGAAACAGATCCTCGCAGCCGTGACGACGGGGCGTATAGTCGGCACTATAACAAGTGTCACGCGAAGGCATTTCGCCGATGAGGCCGGAGAGAAAGTAGTCGCTGGTCAGCTCGAAGTCAAGATCGTCCGGTTCAGGCTGCCAATCCGGTCTCTTGCGGACAAGGCATTGCGCTACAGTACAGCCTCCCATTTCTTCGGCGGTGATCTCGAATCCGGAATAGCCAGCACGATGCTCACAGCCAGGTCCGGCCAAATGCTCGAGCTTATCGCATTCGCTCCAGCTTTTGTATATGTTCTCAGTTCCATTGTGATCGTCCGCGTTTTCATCATGCGGTGAAGCCTTGATGGAACCTTGGCTTTTCGGTTGCCGGTGCTCTTTTTCAGCTTCAGGGCTGTCTTCTGGCCGACGTAGGGTTTCATGTGGCATGGTAGCCTGATCTCCAACATCTAGGCTACGCCTTGGCTCTTCCTCCAAGAAAGATCTTGTGTAGTTCTCCATAGACTTATCTTCCGAGTAAACACCGCTGATCCCGCTCCTTTCCGCATTCTCATCCTCGTCAACCTCCTCCTCGTCCGACTGATACTCAAATGCTTCATCTTCTTCTTTGCTTTCCGGGAGATAAATACCATCACTTGTGTCGTCATCATCAAAATTGACATCACTCTTACCAGTCTCTTCATCGGCTCTCAGCGTTTCATCCACTGGTGCGGGTGATCTAGGAACATCTTGACACCCTGCTGAGGCCGGACAACGTTCGTTTTCGAGATAATCTTTGCTCACGAAACTTTCATAATGACCATCGTCGCCTAGAAGTTGGTTCTCTCCCCCACTCCATGCTGCATGATACGGCTCATCCGGCCGTCGGACACGACCAGTATTGAAGCTGATGCCACATAGCTTGCAGTATATCTAGCGCCGCACATTCAGTGTTCTGTTCGTTGTATCGCTGACTTTGTACGTGGTAGGCTCACTTCTGAATAACCTGCGAGAGCAAGTCAGCATTCTCTGCAGATAGGCAGCCGAGACTGAGAGATGTGTCGTCTGGACCACACCTATTATCCAGGCAGTGTGACTCACCCATTGCGCTTGTTGCTCAGCGTCGATTAAGATTTAGGGAAGTAATGCTCTAGAAATATTTTAGATATATTTTGAAGGAGGCGGTCGAGCGTCGCAGTGCATTTCAGCTTTTTTCTGGGGGATGTCGACTGATTTTAGTCGCTCCGCACCGGTGATTGCTGTGCCACTGAACTCATCTCCACTGGATGTTTAAATTAGCCACATATCGTATTCATGGTTATTGCAGGAAATATCATTCGAGTCGACAAGAGCAGTGGTTCAAAGGCTTGTGAGACGGGGTGGTACGTTGTAGTGGTACGAGTAGTGATGTATCCAAACGCGGATCCGTGTCGAAACTTCTCACCCGCCCTACAGCACGGGGTCCTGCGGGGCGACCGGGCGAGTGACGTTGCTGTCTTAACCAACGGTGCCTTTAGCGTGCTGGGAGCGCCTCTAGGTCCGAAGATCAACACCCCGGAAATCCGAGCTTCCGGGCGGGGTTGGGGTTGGGAGAGTCCTCACCCCGCGGTCCCGCCCCTCCTCCCGCCCCCAGCCGAAATTCCGACGGAGTCTCCCCCACCCCGTTGCGGCAGCATAATCGCCTAACTCCGTGATGATCCAAGTAGTATGGCCCTAAAAAAATCAACTCGATTGGCGGATTATCACCTACCCCCAAGGCTGTACCCTGGGAGGCTCCAGTCGTCTCAATTGGGAATTCTTCATCGCTCCTTCAGAGGTTAACATTAACTCTTGGATCGACTCGGGCAACCCAGGGTGGGATTGGAAGATTATGTCACCTCACTACGAGAAATTTCATACGCCTATAGTCCCGCCCGAGGAGGTCTGCGCGCACTCGGAGCTCGTTTAAGTAGAGAGAGAAACGTTGGAAGTGGCAGTGAACCGATTATGACCCCGTACACTGGCACCGTGGAAAACCCCTTAGGGAGGGTATGGGCCAGTACATTTCGGACTTGAATTATGTACTTTGCGCCTCCTGACCGGATCGGAAGTAAGACAGATCACCTTGGACAACAGAAATGGCTTGGCCATTACGAACGGTGTCGTGGTCACGAATAAAGGTACAAGGCAGGTCTTTACACCAAATAGAGAAGTCGTTTTGGCTGCGGGAACGATGAACTCCACTAAGATCCTTAGAATTGTCTGGGACAGACAAAAGGGACATACTCCAGTTCTACAGCATTGATGTTGTCATTGAAAATTTCAATGTGGGCGGAAGTTTGCAGGATCATCCAATGACAGGAGTAATATTCGAGACAGGAGGCGGCGTTGAAACTTCGGACGATCTGTTCCGCCAAGATCCTAAAGCTGTTGAAGCTGCCGTGAAGGCCTAACAAATTAGCAAAACCGGCCCGTTCGGTGGAGCGTCGATCAATTCCTTTGCTTTCATGCCTGTTGTTCAGTCCCAGTGCCCTGACGGCGAAGTCGCGTTGAATACTCTGCTTGAGACTCAATCGTCAGGTCAAGCGAAAACCAGCCCGAGCGCCGAAGAGGACTCCGTCGGCTCAGTGATTTCCAGTGATGACAAAAGCTTCGTGGTGTACTCCATGTATGCTGCTCGGGCCAGTTTTGTAGCAGGGGCGAGCAATAGTAAAAATGGTCGCGAGGGATACAAATCAGGACATTATATCATAATCTGCGCACAGCTGTCGTATCCTTTGTCGCGCGGAAATGTATCTGGAAGTTCTTGCCCATCATCTTCAATCCCTCGAAACGCCTCAACCACAGAACCGTTGGCATCCCTCCTCAAACCTCAAAGCCTCCGAAAGCCAGACTTCGCAGCGGGGAGACGGGATCTGAAAGCCGCGGAAGAAAATCTCGGTCGAACTGTACTCGGGCGTGGCACCCTCTAGGCACTTGGGCGATGCGACCACGCGGCAAAGGCGGCGTGGTGAACGAACGACTGATCGTTCACGGGTCGACGAACTTGAGGGTCGTGGATGCAAGCATCGTCGAGCAACACGACACCAGTATAAGGTGCGGAGAGGGTAGAACTTCTGGCACTGTGTCAATTAGATCGGATGGAATGGAAGCGCTGTTGAGTCAAAAGGCCGGGTTGTGCCACCGCTTTGGATCAAACTGAGGTCATACTCATGCGGTCGACGCATGGGCAGTGAGACTTTGTGGATTCGAGTTTCAAGATGGATAATTCCTATACGAGAACCAGATCTAGTACTGACGCGCTCGGGTAGGCATATCTAGGATGAGTTGGTGTCCAGACGTTGAGTAGAAGTTGCTTCGTCCAGTGTGATTGCTCTAATGGCTTTTGGAAGGACTCGGGTGCAGTTGATCTTGTATGTGTTTTGTCGCCAGGCAACAAAACCTGACTTGCCAACAAGTTATCGACGGCAAGTTTTCCACGGTCGAAGATTTGAACGAAATAAATTCAACAGCTACGTCTTCAAGAGCGTCTCCTTATGCTTAAGTGCGTTTGCTATTCTAGACGATCTTTGCTCAACGCAGTCATGATGAAGATTGCGTCTCTGCTCATCGTCTGAGTCTGGAAGTGCTGTGTGTTATCAAGTACCATCAGTCATTTTGCGGAGGAACAGGAGACACGGCGCCGCAAATTGTAAGAAGTCCATATCAAGCTCGATAATCAGAATTGCAACTGCTTCTTCGCCGCCTACGAGGATCGTAATGACAATACATACAAATCCCCAAGTACAGGATACCCCCGTGCGGGTCGAAAAGCCCCATCAGTCCGTCACAGTAACATTCATCACATTAGACCGAACATCGCCCGTCTTATGAGCCTTGTACTGGAAGAACCCTGTTTCGAAAAAGTAAAGTGTAGCCTTCCCGTCGGCATCCGTCTTGACCCCCGCAACACTCGCATTCTGCACCACAACCCCAGTTCTCCCGTCCGTCACGGACACCGTAGTTCCCTTCCCTTTCTTCACCGTCACCGTCGTCGGCGCCAACTTCAAGAATAATACACTGAGGTCCGTATTGCTACTATCTGTGCCCTTTACCGTGATAAAAGCCCATAGGACTTCATCTCCTGCCTTCACCAGCTGCTGGCACCCACTTAGGGTCAGTCCCTCTCCGAATTTGCTGACTTGATAGTTAACCAGGGAGCCCCAGGATTGAAAGTATGTGCCATTGTCATATTCCGTCGAGGTCCCGATCCTCGTGAAATAGAAATCGTTGAACTCGCCGTCGAAGCCACCACCGTAGGTGAAGCCGCGGGCTTTTGCGGCTGCGTCGAGAGCGTCGGTGGGGGTGTTCCCGGGTGGTGGTGGACTGGGCATCGCTCCGGCGTCGTCACAGATGAAGGTGACCTTGTTGTTCCCACTACCGACGGTGATATTGCGTGGGCCCGACGTTATGGGACCTTCGTAGAGGGTGGAGGTATTTGCCTCGATACGAAGATTGACTGTGTTGGTGCTAGATGAAGTGTTAGCCGTTATTATTGATTGATGCATGTGCATGGAGTGATCGATGGAGCGTATACGTACGCGGTCGCTTCGGGTGCGGCATTTGTAGTTGTTATGGCCGAGAACGCGACTAGGTGTAGAAAGACCATGCCTAGAGAAAGCATTGCGAGTGAGTTGAAAGGTAAGGAGGCAAATGTTGGGTTGTATGAGGTGTACGATGTTCTTCGGACAGCAGTAATGAAGACTGAGGTAGGCGAAAGGTGTAGGCCTTGAAAATTGCCCATTGAGCCCCTTTACGCAGACAGACCAGCCTTCGTTTACCCCATGTGTTTTACTGGCCGATTGGTCAATCCTCAAGAATTGCTCTTGGAGCTCTCGTGTGCAGACAGATCAGCTCTCGCTTACTGCGCATTTTGATTGGCTGATTGGTGTGTGGTAGCAGAATGTTTGACGAGGCTGCACTGCAGGTTAGAGGGATGGGGACAATCTGGCCAGAGCGTCATGGATCCTCTGTGGTAAGCCAGTCATCACTGCATATGGAGTACCCGATTTGGCTGGGCCTACTGAGCCGAAGAACTCCATTCGAATAGCCTCAGCTTCGCCGAACCTCGGCAATTTGCGTCCTGCCAGACGTACCGCTCGACGCTATTGACCTCATTGCATTCAGCGTACAGAGTATTAACTTGCTTCATGGTAATCTAGTACTCGTGTGTGAAGATTTCACTCCACCTTTCGGAGGGCTACATTTCGCCAAGCCACTATCTTAATACAGACTGACATATACGTAGTACAGCCCTTATACTACAGTACCTTACTCACACATGCCTTTTATTGTGTTCTACATATCAACAATAAGATGACGAGTCTGATAAAAGCACGCATGGACGATCATAAGTAGTGAACACTTGGGACACTTGCGCCACAGGATGTGTACTATTCCCGCGTTGAGTATAGAGATTGGTGTGCTTGCTCGTTGGGCACGCTCACTCACGTCCTTCTGGGTAGGCCACTTCCCCAGCGAGCCCACCTAAGGAAGGGATGGTGTTTACATTTGCGCGCGTCGACTCGCGATGAGTCTGTTCAGGCTTGGTATCGCCTTTTGACACTCAAAGCTTGCCTCGAGAACGCCAGCAGGGAAACGATATAAGACCTTACATACTTTGCGAGGCTCAACACTTTCCTCGATTGACTTCTGAGATTCTCGTCATTCCTACATCCCGGAATGCATACTTTTTCCTGGAAATGCCTTTGATCTCGTTGGATTATTGACCGAAAACATTGCTCGCTCCAGAATTCTACGATTTACCTACGTGTTCAAGATGTCTCTCCTTCAACACAAGTATCTCTTACCATATAACTCAATCTGCCCACAAGATCTCTGTCTCCTCAACCATTCACACTAGTTCTCTAGCCTTGTTGTACCTTCTGGATATCATATGAAACGCGCTCATCAACAGAGGTCCCACATCCAGACCCAGGCTCCTTTACATTACAACTTACCCCAGTCTCACATGGTGACCAAGTTTCAGCATGTCAACTCCGGCAAATCTCCACATCACTTGTGAGCACTGCAAGCAGAAGGCCACCTTAGCATGTGCTGGCTGTATAGCAGTACCGGACACTGCAGCTGGTATCGTCCAGACGACCTGGTATTGTGGAGCGAGTTGTCAGCGGGCCGGTTGGAATAACCATAAGGAAGCCTGTAAGGCAATCCAAGCTCGCAAGTCTTTATTCAGAGCTGGAGAGGTTGTACAGCACGCTTTTTACATGTACCGAGAGAAGGTTTTTGACAAATATGTCTTGAGTGTTGAACGCGACGGGGAACACCTCAAGACGAATATCCAGTATGTTCTCAATGAGGACACATTTTTTGTCCCGTTTCCAGACAAGGTCTGCGTGGATCACGCGGACAAACAAGCCTTGTTGGCGTCTTGGGCTTGCGCCGACGCCGTTGCATATATGCATGGACTGGTGAAGAGTCTACTTCAAGGTGAGTGAATCATGGAGCCGATGAGAATACCTGAGGAATCGCGCTGGATCGCTCATATATGTACAGGACTCTACAAGGAGATAAGCGATGTCCTGGTCTCGACGAAGAATCACCGTCGCCGCTTCATCAACGCTGGTATAACAGCACCTAATAACAACGACAATACGAAATACGGTCATGAGGTCATTCAAGTCACACTCAAGAATGGCGAGAAGTATGTGCTCGACATTGCAGGTGCCCAGTATGGACAATTCACCACTGTCATCCCATGGGATGTTTATGTCCAATCTCATGTCAAGGACGTCATACATTGCCATGACTTCGGTTCCACACGCGAGCGCATAACCTCTCCGATATACTGCAATGGTAGCACCCACATACAGCTGAAGAAATACTTCAACAAGCTCTTGTCGGCAAGCATGGACGCCAAGATCAAAGAATGGCAAGACTCCAATATCACGCTGCCTGCTATGCTCAAACTTTCGGAACAGAAACTTTTCGAGAAGCAGAGCGAGTTTTTTTCGTTCTTGGATGGCGAGCTAGACAAAGCGAAACTGTCTATCCAAGGGACACTATCGGGTAGAGCGAGGGTGCCAGCTACAGAAGCCTTGTTGGAACAATGGCTTCGTAAAGGTACATTTCGTCGTGAATCATAGTTCGAGATCTGGCGATCCTTGAAGCAAAGCAGTGGGTAGGAAGGCTAGACGAGTTGCTGAGTTAAATCAATTACTGGCCTTCAACATCTTCGTGAATTTTTAGGTAGTGTCAACAAGGCCCAGCGTGTTCAAAAGGTGGTTGCAGATAGATTGGGCCGCCGCCTGCTCCGAAATCTCATGGAGAGCGGAAGGCGCGACAAGGGCTCAGAGCAATTGAAGTACCTATCAAGATTCGCCAATAATGACCGATCTGATCACAAATCTTGCCATTTGCGTAATCACTAATGCTGCGGGACGATCCAACTAACGCAGCAAGACATATGCCCAGCACCGCCGCTCCCTCGCTTCTGGTGCAGCTCATGAGCTCATAGTGTGATGACAAAGATCAACCAATGCTATATGGCAGCTCTGTTCACAAAACATAAGACCTCGGCATGTAAACAGTGCCTATTCAAAACTGCTAACTCCGAACACCAATTACTAATTCTTCCACTTTGCTATCCTCACAGTCGAACGCTCTCCTCTTGATCAACATGTACACGATATTTCTCTCGAGCTGACATCATCCCAAATGACCAACCACGCAGCAATCACTCCCTCTCCCAAATCCCCGCTCGCGGTCATAACGCGACCAGTCCCCACGCCCACCAGATCCTGATCCGCAACCGCGCCATTGCCACCAACCCCTCCGATGGGAAGATCCAAGACCCCAACGTCCACGTCAAATCCTACCCCGCGATCCTCGGCAGCGACATGGCGGGCACCGTCGAAAGGATCAGGTGTCCCCGTGACCCGATTCGGGAAACGAGACCGCGTGTCCGGGTTTGCGATTTCCACGCTGCGGGATGGTGTGGACGAGGGCGCGTTTCAGGAATACGTCCCCGTGGATGCGGCATGCTGCGCCAAGGTTCGCGTTAGTGTCGAAAAGTGAGGAACAAAAAAGCAACAAGGTTCATGTTTTTCCCAACGGGGAGTTTGCTACCTGTGGTGGCCGTGACGTCGGGTGTGGCCGTCTTTTCGAACCTGGGGGTTGCCGAGGAGCGGGGGACGGAAAGGTGGGTTCTTGGTCTGGGGCGGAGCATGGTCTGTTGGCTCGGGAGCGGTGCAGATTGTTGCGGCGTTGGGATTTGATGCCTTTACGACGATGTCTAGGACTCGGCATCATGCGTATCTGACGACGCTTGGAGCGAAGCTCGTCTTTGATACGTAAGATGCGTGGCGAAGTTCGTCTTTGATTAAGGTAGCCAATGATGCGGGAAGATGACAGCTCGGGTTGGACCTTGCACCCCGAGCTGCGGGTTTGTGGCCCTGGACGGAGTGTCAGTTCACCTGAAGCATCAAGAAGGATCGATAGCCTGTGGAAACCGAGTTATTCCGAGTCTTCCGTCATACTAGACTAACAGAAAAGTAGAACAGGCGCACCGCACGCTGTCCGAAATTGTTGTGATGGAGTATAACGGCTGATTATTTAGCTTTGTAGGTTGGAGGAACTGTGATAAGATGTTCATACTCGGTTTCGCTTCCAAATTCAACCTTCTAGGATATGCAATTTCCGATATCACAGTTCGATACAAAAGAACAATTACAACAAGGCTTTTTTTCCATTGGTTTTCATCTCTATTCGGCATATATTGTTATAGCTATCTACTAAGTGAAACCGAGTGGTATGATGCACATACGAAGCATTATCTCCATCCTCTGGCGGAGAAGAATCAGTGCGGGATTACATATTCTCTTGTGAGTGTTTCTCGTTCTTGAGTTGCGATTGGCTGAAAGAAGGGCTACGGATTGCATACCCTACTATCAAAACGCAGTTTACAGAATGCAGTTTTAAAATCGATAATCCGCCAACAAATCACCACCAAATTTCTATGGTACTGGGCACAATATACATACCTTACGGTCTACACAGGCACACAGCTACTTCTACAAGTTTCATTCACCATGGCAAGTAGGCCTGGCCACTGTGGAGTGGGCATCAGTGCCAAATGTAATATTTACTCGCTAGCAGCTAAGCGAGCTTTTTCCCAGCTAATCTATCGACCGCTGGCCTTAAACTCGAATGACAGATAGTAGTACATACAACCACATCCATAGGTATGAAGCTCCTGTGATTACTTGGGAGATCATGCAGATTACATATTCTCTGGTGAATGATTTCTCGTTCTTAGTTGCATTGGCTGAAAGAAAGGCAATCTTACAATTGCATACCCTAAACGAAAGATGGACTAGTGCTGAGAGGCTGAAGATCCTTACGGCCGTATCTTGCAGAGCACGTTTCATCTCTTATATTCTGCCACACACACCTTGTCACGTAGTCCATGTCTCGTCTTTTGCTTTCTTCGTCCTTTGCTTTCTTCGTCCTTCCTTATTTCCTACACAAGCTCAACTAGACATTCTAGCACTTGGCTCCTATAACGAGTCTTCATGCGTTCGAGATATGAATACAATGCCGAATGCACCTACTTACACTCATTTGTCAGCTTTCGACGTAAATCTCAGCGGGACGAACATTATCACACCTTGCTGCTACCCCATATCCGTACGGTGATCGTCTCACTGAGCCAGAACGTTTGACTAATTCACCCTCCAGGGCAACTACGGCCGTCTTCCACGGGACCTATTCTACTGCACGATAGTGTTCTGCCTTTTGTCTTCGCATTCCGAGTGGTTGATTGCGGGTGCTTTAGCAGCTGCATTGACATACTCGGGCGCTGCAGCAGCTCATATGTGTATGCTGGTATCGTTCGGACCCTCCTATGGCGAACTCGATTTCTACGCTCTTTGCGGCATATTGAGCACATCATGCCTCATCGCAGTTCCATTGGTCAACTGGTCGAGCACTCTGAGGAATCTGGGATCCCACGATGGTGGTAGACCTGGAACAAGGATGATCATCATATACTGGGCGTTTTGGGTCACCTTGGGATTTATCTTGTGTCTGGGGAAGATTTGGTATGGCTTTACTCCATATAATGAGAGCACCGTGAAGACGGTCGCTTGCGTGCCACCAAGGACCACGGTGAGTCTTACGGCTGGCCAGGGTCTTACTGCTGGTCAAGGCCCCTATCTGGCAAAATCTTCTCCTTACTTTCTCATCGATGCGGAGTGGATTGGCGATAACGGATGTATGGATCCTTGCGCGCAGGGACTGTTTGCTCAACCAGCAGCGATCTTCCGCTCGCTCTCCGATCTCCAACTACAGTCTCTCCATGAGATCGAAAACTCTTATCAAATGATCCATGGTTTGCGCTTTTACAACTTGTACCTCATAGTTGGCACCGCAATGGGGCCTATCGTGTTGCTTCAAGGCATCTGGGCTATGTGCTTTGGTAGGAGAAGTCCACGTCAATGCAGGATGGTGATCTACAACTTCGTCAGACATGCCAGGATACCTAAGATTGGGAGTAGCTCTAGGCACGGGATGGCGTCAAGGAGCGGCGGACAAGGGCAGAAAAGGACCGCTAGATATCTCGCGACCATAGCCTACCTATGGGCTGTCCTCTCGACTGTCTTTTGCGTTCTTCTATTCGTCTTCAACATCGTCGCGATGGAGGTGCTACTGTCGAGTTTTCCCCAGAGCGAATCTGCGAAACACATTGGCGCCTGGAGCCCCTGGGCCGCCACCGGGCTGATTCTCGCTGCGGCTCTCATCTCAAAGGCCCCCCACAATCCGATTCGAAAGATGTCCCGTTCTTCCTTCCAAACCTTGCAAAGGATCGGTGATTGCCTCGGCTCGGGAGTCGTTACAGTAAGAAACATCGTGTCTCGGCAGAACAAATCGAAGCAACTTCACCCCGCGCCTATCGAGCTGAAGACTCTTGGTCCTGTAGGCCAAGCCAAATCTGATCACCTGAGTGCCCTGTTCGAGGACTTGAAAAGAACGCTGGCGTCGTGCGGGAACACGGTCACCGGCGAATGGGAGTCTCTCGTAAGGTTCTGGAGAGAGCCTGACCATACGGAGACAGCTATTGCTTGATATCAAGTCAGACGGCAGGCTCAATGGGTGTTTATGATATTGGGCCGTCATGATTTTGTGAAAAGGTTCGATGATGCCTTAGAAACGCCGCTCTGTGATTCCGCTTGGCTTCTTTATTCTGGGTTTCACACAGTCTATAACTCTATATTAACTAGAGGATATACTATTTAAAGGAATTAAATTAATAGATATTAATAAGAGACTTAAATAATTTATTCTTTGAAGAATATAAGAGTATAATAAAAATAAATAAAACGCTCTCTCTAATATCTTTACTAAAGAATTTCAATAATTCGCTAAAAAGAACTTTAAGACTCTTTTTAAAGATTAGTAATATAGTTTATAAAATTATCTACGAACTAATAGAGTCTATATTAAGAAAGAATAAGAGGTTTTAATAGTCGAATTTTTAATGAATATAATTAAAGAAGAAATTCTATAGCCATTAAACGACGAGAATCGTTCTCTATTAAAGTAGTAATAATATTATCTTTTCTATAGTAGCTAATTTAGCCGTAATAGCCGATATAGAATACTATTTCTTTCCCCCGTAACCGTCTTATTATCAGCCTTATCGATCGAAGAATACTATTTCTCTCCCTTCGTAATAGCCTTATTAGCAGTCTTATCGACCGAAGAATACTATTTCTCTCTCCCCGTAACCGCCTTATCGACCGAAGAATTCTACTTTAATTCTCTTCTCTAACTTTAGCCTATAGTCTAAATTATTCGAGCTCTATATCTACTATTCTCGTCTTATTAAGTTATTTAAGACTTCGATAATAATATAAAATTATAATTATAGTAAGAAACTTATTATTCTAATTAAATTATATATTATCGAGAAGAAGTATAATAGAAATTCTATCGAGAGTCTTAGCTATAAATTTATAATTTTTATAAATCTTTATATAAAAGTCGAGATTCCTTAGTAGATTCTTTAAATAGTATTTTTAATTATATTAAAATCTATAATATTAAAATATTATTACTCTAGCTATTAAGAAATTAATCTTATTATTTAATAACTCTTCGATTAATTTTAAAGCTATTTCGAGAGAGAAGAATATTATTATCTTATACTTTATAAGTAAAATAATATTAATTTAAGAGACTTATTTCGAGCTAATTTCGAAAAGAATAAAGAAATTATCTTTAATAAGATAATTTAATAACTTCATTAAATTTAAAGAGAATTAAATTACGAATTTTAATTAGATATAGTACTTTAAAATAAGATAATTATCTCTTATAGTAATATTTCTATATATAATATTATAATTCTATAATAGACGATTATAATTATAAAGCTAATTAATAATATCTATATTATAATTAAGAATTATAAAGAGACTATAAAGATTAAGAGATTCGAGTTATTTAGATTTATAATATACTTTATTAATCGAAAGTATTATATTAATTAATCTTTAAATTAGAGTAAATATAATAGATCGTCTTCGTAGATAAATAGCTTTTAGAAAAAGTAATACTTTATCTATAAAAAGATAGACTACTAATTAATTAAGTATATCGATAAAAAATATTAAAAGTCTTAAAATAAGTTCCCTAAGCGATTTATCGACTTTATTAATAAGCGATATAACTTTTATATTTAAGAGTTTAAAGATTAAAAGAATAAGATCGAGAATCTTAAAATCTAAACTCTTAATATTTAAGATACTAATTTAAAGAAAATTGAAAACTTTATTATAATTACTTTTATAATTATATTAATTAAGTTTAAATATATTATTTAAAGCTTTTTAGCTATTTTATATATTATAATATTATTAAATCTAATAGCTTTCTTAATATTAATTAATATATCTTAAAGTAATTTTATAATATTATACTAAATATCGAAGTTATATATATATTTACTATTAAATATAATTAAGTAAAAGTCTATATAAGAGAATTTAATATATAATTAAATATTACTATTAATAATATTATTATTTAATTTAAAATTAGAATAATAGTATTAATTAAAAAACTTATAATAAGTTTATTTATTAATCGAGTCGACTTTTATATAATATAGATTAATATCTTATTTCTACTATATATTTAAGATATAAATAAATTAGAGATCTATCTAAATAATCTTAAAAACTAAGTTATTTTAAGAAATAAATCTATAATCTTAATTATTCGCTTTTATAAATATCTTATTTCTTAATATAGAATTTTATATTAATTAACTATCTAATTAATATCGAGTTATATTAATTATATTATTAATTTAATTATCTCTTAATTAATAGATTTATTTAAATTCTAAAGAAAGCTAGCTATAACGACTTCGAATATTATTATATATTTAAATAAATTATTAAGTTCTATATACTCTATTAAAAGTACTCTCGATTTTTAAATTATTTTAAATTCTTACTTAAGAATAAGAATAATATCTATTTTAATTATATAATTATTATTAATATTCTTTATATTAATAATAATCTAATTCTATAAATTATTAATAAGAGACTTTCTTTTTAAATCGCTCGCTAATTAATAAATATAACTATCTTTTATATATAGAATATACTTAGATTATACTAAATAGATATATATATCGAATCTCTTAATATTATTATTTATAACGCTAAAATTAATTTTAATAATATCGAGTTTAGATAAAACGCTAGAACTCTAAATATTTAAATAAAATATATATTAGTTAAAATCGCTAATTCTATCGACTTAATAAAATAATATTATACTTTATTAAGATAAGTTTATTTAATAATTATTACGAAATTAAAGAATTAAGATATTAAAAAGAAGGTTTATTTATAAATAGCTATTAAGACTATTAACGATATAGTCGAATATAATAATATTATTTCTATATTACTAGTTTTTAAACTCTTTTTCTATATTATAAGTAATAATATATTAACTTTATCTATTATTAAGAGAATAAAAGCTATTAATATAGTAATAGTTAAAGTTATAAAACTTTACGCTAAGAGATAAATTAATAACGTTTTATATTAGCGAAATAGTTTTTAAACTATAAGAATATATAATATTTTAATTAATTTCTCGATATTAATATAAAGAACGTATTAAAAAAAGTAAATTAAATTATATAAATTGCTAGTTACTTCTCGAGAGATATATATTATTAAATTATCTAATAATTCTATAGACTTTCGAATTACTATTATTAAGCTATATTTTAAAAAAATAAACACTTTAATCGAGTCTCTTAAATTTTCTAAATAAGAATCTTTATAATTAGACGATAATTAGTATAAAAATAACGATAATTAAGATTATTAAGACTCTTTTTAAAACGCTTTACTACGTTATAACCCTTCTCGATATTAATATATTCTTACTTATTTTTAAAACTCTATTAATATTATAATTTATATATCTAAGTTTATATTATAATTATCTTTATCGAACTTTTAGATATCTTAATAAAAAGAATTTAGTAAACTATTTAAAAAGAATATATTTAAGATTATAAAGATCGAAGATATTCTTATAGAAGTATAAATATTTAATTATTATTTTATAAATTAAATTAAGAATAAGAGTATCGAGAAAGTCTTTAAGAAGTCGCGATTAGTAGTATAAGTATTTAATAACTTAAAGAAGTATAGAATTCTTATTTAGATCTTTATTATTTAATAAACTAGTTAATAACTTATTATCGCTTTAGCGTTAGCTATTCTATAGCTATCTCTATATCTACGCGATATTACTTAAATATATATATAATCTTAATTCGAGTTAATTAGAGATATCTTTATTTTTACTTTAGCTAAAATAAAATTATTCTTAAGAATAATATTTTATATTATTCTCTCTCTCTATAAAATTACTAAATCTAATATTTACTAATTTTAGATATATTATAAATATTATATAAAGAAGCTAAAAATAACCTCGTTTATATTCGATACTTATTTATTATTTAATAATAATATAATAGTAATTATTAGCTTATAAATCGATAACTCTCTTCTTATTAATATTATCGAGTTTATAAATATAAAATTATAAGAATTATATATCGCTAGATTAATAACTAAGTTATATAAAAGACTTATTTTAAAATAATCTCTTAAATTTAATAGATTTATTATTATTTTTAAAAATAATATAAAAATTAGCTAATTTAGATAAGCGAAGAAAATTTAATTATTTATAAAATTATTTATAAAAGAATAATATATCGTCTAGCGAGTATAAGCGCTACTATTTTATAGTTATAAGCGATATTCGCTTTATTATATATCGTCTAGATTATAGAATCTATATATAAGAATACTTAATATTTAAATTATTATCTTTTATAGTAAATAAAAGAAAGAAGTCTTATATTTATTAAGTTAGATATAATATCTCTAAAAATTATAATTTTTATAAATTCGTTATTTGTTAATAATAAAGATTTCTCTTTTTAAATTAACTATATAATAGTCTTAGCTAACGCTTAGAATAAGATTAATATTATTTATTAATAATTAATTAAATATTATTAAGTTATTAGAAGCGTATTAGCCTTTAAACTTTATATATTATTTCTAGAATTTAATATTATAATTATTATAAGGTTTACTCTAAATTAAATCTTCTCTAATACTCTCTAGAAAAAGATATCTTTATCTATATATATAGACTTAAAATCTTTATATAAATATTTTATTAAGCTAGAGATAATCTAAAAGAAGAGATTAATAATAGATATTTTATATCTAAGATAGTTATATAAATAATAAGAGATTATTGAGATTTTATAAATTAGAGAAAATAAGAATTTAATTGATTTAATAATAAAGAATAAGAGATATAATATATTATAAAGACTAGTAAATATAAATTAACTAGATTTAAATTTAAAAGGATAGATAAAAAGATAAGATATTAATATTAATTAATAGAAAGTCGTCTTAGCGTAATATTATTAGAAATACGTCTAATATAATTAAATCTATATCTATTATAGTAGAGAGAGTAATTACGATTATAGAAATTATAAAAAAGAAATATAATATATAAATAGCCTTATTTTCTATTTTAATTATATACTTATTATAGTAATATACTATAATATAATATTATCTAGATACGCGGAGATAGTAGATTAAGTTATAGTAATATTCTTCGCTTACTAAGTAGCGATCTAACGTGAGATTATAAAGAGTATATAACGTGAGATTTTAGAGAGTAGGCCTATATTTTTAATACTAAAGGCCTTACTATCGCTTAGTTTCTCTATAGTATTCTTCGCATTTATCTACTATAGTAATTTCTTCTCTTATTAAATATCGGGCTAATATAAGATTATAGAGAGTAGATTTATTATATTACTATTACTACTAACTATCTTCGTAATAATCTCCGTATTTATCTACTATAGTAATTTCTTCTCTTATTAAATATCGAGCTAATATAAGATTATAGAGAGTAAGTCTATTATATTACTACTACTAACTATCTTCGTAATTCTCTTCGTAATATATTATTTCTTCTCTTATAGAATATTAGATTAAGTAACTAGCTAAGTAGCTAACTAAATAGACTAATATAAGATTATAAAGAGTAAATCTATTATATTACTACTACTATTAATTATCTTCGTAATTTTAATTTTGTATATCTAAATAAGTAGTTACGCTAACGTCGTATAGTGTTACGAGCGTACCCTTGACACACCACTCAGCCCTATGGCTAGCGGGCCTTGGCGGAGGCATCCCCTACTATATCATGCCTCCTTCCCACCTACATAGTTCGGTAGCCTTATTATCCTAGTTCTACCTCACCCATACTGGTATCGCACCTATGCTGGTCCTGACATAGGATAAATTTATAATTAAATTACTATTTTATAATATAAAATAGTAATTTAATTTATAAGTAATCGATAAGACTAATAACTACTCTATATAGTTAGCCTATTAGATTATTACCCTTTTCGTTTTAAATTATTCTTTTGAATCACATTGCTAAACCTGTCTACTAGTCCAAAACAGGTGTTATGAAACCGGGGCGTATTATCTAAGGTACCTTACATCATCCATCATCATTATTTCGCATCCGATACCCAGATTCTACCGGCTCCGGAGGAGAGTAAAGGAAAGGAATGGGATGGAGGGGAGGGGGATAATTTTGTTTTATTGTTTTTTCGACCCTTTCTTCAAATCGAGGGGACCTATGAGAGAATGGTATTTCTTTTTTACCTTTGCATTTGCAAGTCGAAGCTTTTCTTCAATACCGTAAATGACGCATCCCTAAAAGCATGTATACTTTACATACTACGGCCGGGCTGCCTCTCCATTTACTTCAGTCTTTCCTCTTACTTCCAATTCCTACATATTCCAACATCTCGAAAACACACCTTCATCGTCACCATGGCAAACGCAGGAGGAAGCAACCCCATCCAGCATCCATTGGCAGCCACAGCATCAGCCATTGGAGCTGCAGGTGGTGACCCTCGAACAAACAAGACATCTCTTTTCATGAGTGCGAACGAGGGTCCGGCTGAGATTGCAGCAAAGATCTCCGGCGTGAACCTGGGCGGCAAGCGAGAGGATGATTCTGCCTACTTCACCAACAATGAGGCTATTCCATGGCCTGACCCGTGAGCATCCTCCCTACGCCACTCAAGCCCTACGACATGATGGCTGAAAGATCTTCAGAGCTCATAGTAAGACCGTTGGCGGCCTTCCGCTCGTGAGCGATACGTTCCTGCTCCAAAAGCAGCAGACCTTCAACCGATCAAAGAATCTCGAACGTGAGTCATCTCGTCACCACAATTGACATGACGTTCTCAGGTGCCCTGACGACAACCATCTAACCTATTTTGGTTAGGCATGGTCCATCCCTGTGGTAGCGGGGCATTTGGGCATTTCGAGTGCACCAAGGATATGTCCAATCTGACGTTGGTCACCCTCTATTTGCATTGAGAAATGTGTAGGCGTGGTGGACAGAAAATGGTATTGATGGTGAAGCCTGCAGCAAAGCGAATTTCCTTCAGAGCGCGGGCCAGAAGACGCCAATCTTCATCCGCTTCAGCACCGTCACCCTTGGACGCGAGTTTCCCGACTCAGCTCGCAATCCGAGAGGTTTCGCCATCAAGTTCTATACAGGAGAAGGAAACTATGATATCGTTGGCTTAAACTGGGTATGGATTGCCGAAACTCGAAGTGCTGCATTGTTTGACTGATCTTCAGCCTATCTTCTTCTGTCGTGATCCAATCCAGGGACCAGATGTCATCCGATCTCAAGCACGTAACCCGCGAAACTTTCTCTTGGATTACGATGCCACCTTCGATCTTTTGGCTTGTACACCAGAAGGGTAGGGAACATTGTCCGTGTTCAAGTTTCAGCTAACACGGTTGCTAGCAATCATGCTGGATTGATGTTCTTCAGTGACCATGGGACTCCTGATGGATGGATCCATGAACATGGCTATGGGTGCCATACATTCAAATGGTAACTGATCTTCTCCTACCAATCAGTGTATCACTTATTAATGGAAGGCAGGGTTAACAAGGATGGGAAATTCGTGTATATCAAATACCACTTCCTCGCAGAGACCGGACAGAAGCAGCTCACCGAACCCGAGGCGATTCGAATCTCCGGCGAAGATCCAGACTATTCCAAAAGACAGCTTTGGGATGCCATGGAAGAAGGCAAGGAGATCGTCTGGAAGGCTCATATTCAGATCATGGAGCCCGATGAAGCCGATGCCAACAAGCTGGGTTTTGACCCCTTTGATGTTACAAAAGTGTGGCCCAGAGGTCAATTTCCGGTACTTTCCCCAATGCCCACGAGCTTGGTATCGGCTGACACCATCAGATGCACGAGTTCGGGCGCTTAGTCCTGAACAAGAACCCGGAGAATTACCATCGGGACGTGGAGCAAGCTGCATTCAGCCCTGGTAGCATGGTGCCGGGCATTGAAGATAGCCCTGACCCGCTTCTGCAATTCCGCATGTTCTTTTACCGTGATGCCCAGTACCACCGCATTGGCGTCAATCTCCATCAGGTGCCGGTCAACTGCCCCTTCATGGCCGGTAATTATTCCAGTCTCAACTTTGACGGAGCAATGCGCGTCGATGCCAACCATGCCGGTAACAAGCAATACGTGCCGAACAGCTTCAAGAATGCCTTCCGACCTGACACTGCCGAGGCGCCCTACACCGTTGCCGACAACGTGGTTTCGAGGAAGTCCCATTACGCGCATGAAGGCAAGAAGAGTGAATATGCGCAGGCCACGGAACTTTATAGGCGTGTCATGAGTGATACTGCAAGAGAGCACACTCATCAGAACACCGCAAAAATGATCTCGCGCGTGAATTATCCGATCATTCAGGTATGAAAATTCTGCTGACGATAGGCTGCCGTTGAAGGGATCGCTAAGTATCATATAGAAAAAGTATCTGGCCCAGATTTACAACATCGCCCCTGAGTATCCCAAGGCCGTCTACGACCTCATGAGCAAGAAAGAGTTTGAATTCTCCGAGGTCGAAGAACTGTCGAAGAGCGCTCACGAGTTCTCCAAAGAGGCTAAGTTCAGGCCTGGAGAGAACGATCGCTTGGTGGGCTACGCACCGCCGACAAGCATTTACAACATGTAAGGATGGAAAGCTCCAAGAGCATGGATTGGCATTTTGGTATCGTACATAGTTTTTATCCGATCCTTGTAGAAATCAATTCTCGTGACAATTACCACACATTATCGCACAACATTCCCAGTACCAAAGCGGTTCAAGTCGAGTGACAGAACCCCAACCAGTGATCCTCGACCCTCGACCACCCACACTAACTCTCCACCCTATAAAGCTATTGGCCAAGGCAGCCGGATCGCCCGAACTGCATCATCAACCACCGAGCCATTGCAGGCATCTTCGAACCTCAATAATCATCCTACCAACGTACCCAACCTCTCCACAGCCAGCCAGCCACCGAGTCCCGCAGCCCCATAGTCAGAAAACAACGAATATACACATTTCGATGCGCGAGATTATCCCATTCCAACCTCCGTACGGCAATATGGGTAGGACGTCCAGATCCGAAATCCGACTCCGGATCCCTAGCGTGGATCCCCGTTCCCCCGTTTCCGTTCCGGTGTGTTTGTCTCTGATCTCTCTCATCTTCCGGAACGGGTTGGGGGACAGTGTGATCCCTTCCTTCCTTCCTTCCTTCCTTCCTTCCTTCCTTCCTTCCTTCCTTGCTTGCTTCCGTCCTTCCTCCTAACGCATCCACCCCGTCCGCAATCCCACATCCGTCGCAACGCGAGCCCGATGCGATACGACACGACACACCCCGCGTGCACTCGTGCGCATTAACGCGGCTGTGTTGGGTTGTGTTGTGTTATAGCGCCTTCCCTTCTGTGATCGGGGCGTATATGGGATACATGCGTTCGTGGTCTCCGGATTCGAGAACGGGATTTGTTTATTTGTCTGTCTATGTATCCAAGATGGTACGGCGTCCGTCCCGTGGGGAAAAAGTGCACTGTTGTCGGTAGGGTGTTTGTCCGTGTGTCGTTCATAGATCCTACGGCCGTCGTCGTCGGCGTCGTTTTGGAAACGTCACGCCGATCAATCGATGGTGGATTTTTTGAAGCTATTTGTATCCGGTTTGGTTGCTTTGGAGTATGTCTTTTCGCTAATGGGGATGGGGGTTCTTCTTCTTCTTTTTCTTCTTCTTCTTCTTCTTCTTCTTCTTCCATTTAACATCTCTCAAATACACAAACTCCGCTGCTACACTCGTCTGTTAATTGGGAGGTTACGCATATCTTGAGCCCTCCGCAGACACACACCGCCTACATACATATATACATATACCTTCTGCACGTACGCCCCTAGTGCGTAGATTCCCTGCTTTCGTTTCTTCCTCTACTATCTATTAGGGTGACTGCGTCTCGGGATCAGGTAGGGGTCGAATGGATGATGCGTTGGCTGCTCAGAGTAAGTGGTTAGGGAGAGTGCGAGCGGATAGCGATGGCGCTGTGCGGGGCGGTGGGATGCTGGTAAGAGGGGTGGTGAAGGTTGTGGGAAAGGGTTGAGGAGGTGAGTAGTAGTTGTAGTTGACTCGTCGTTCAGTATGGAGAGGATATACTTATTGTTATCCGGTGCACTGATGAAATTCTGCCCATGAGATGGGTGCTATGCTACTTTGAATAAGAATGTTTGCCATGGAATGTCATGTTATTCTTGTCATTGAATACGGATTAAACGTGAGACCGCTATCTTTTTGAGCAGATGCATCGTTCTGGCTAGCATAGCTCCATCAATCACACACCGAGCAGGATTTAACAACACTGACACGAAAAAGGGACGGCCGAGCTCTGAAGGAAGTTCGGTCTGACTCGCAAGTTTTCCCGTGATTGTACAACAGCAACCCGTGAACAAAGTTCGCTAGTTCAAACCGTACGTCCGTTCTTTGATATAAATGTAGACGTCGGTCTGCTTGTTGAACCAATAGTTATGCGTCTTCCATTCCTTGCTCGGGTCCGCGAGACGGATGTGGAAGACCCTGACGATGTGAGGGACCAGCTTATAGATCTCGCTCAGAGAGATCTGCGAAACGCGTTAGCGTGTTGCGAAAGTCACTATATAAGCCTGCACTTACATTCTTGCCAATGCAGGTACGCGGTCCGGCACCGAACTGAATCATCGTCTTAACCATCCGCATAGCGTCACCCTCGATCCAGCGGTCCGGGTTGAATTTTTCGGCATCCGGCCCGAAGACATCCTTGTCGTACTGCACGACGGCGGCGTTGACGCCGACGCGGTAGCCTTGGGGAAAGTGGAAACCGGAGATGGTCGCTCCGCCGGCCGGGACGAGTCGTGGCATCGTAAGCCCGACGCTCGGGTGTAGACGCATACCCTCGTTGATGCACGCCTTCAGGTAAGGAAGCTTGATCGCTTCCACATAGGCGACGGGCATGGACAGCGTGCCATCAGCCACGGCTGCGTCTACCTCAGCGGTCAGTTTCTCGTAGGCGGCCGGGTTTCGCATGAGGTGGTACAGGATACTGTTGATCGCAATAGCGGTTGTGTCGGCGCCGGCAAAGCTGGGGCAAGTCTCGTCAAAATGCCGCTTCCCATATGCAGGAAGTCTTGGGAATCGTCACTCACATCGAGCTGTGGGATTCGACGCAAATGTGTTGATATGTGAAGTTGATTTTCTCTCCTCGGTCGGCGTGGATCTCGAGCATTTTCCGAAGCATATCCCGCTTGTCATCCTTGTTTTCCTCAATCTCCTGCTTCCGCCTTTTCACGGCGGCTTCGGAGGCGTTTTCAAGGTGCTTGACAGCTCCCAAGGCCCCGCGAACGGATAGCGAGAACAAAATTGTAGATACAAGGTACAATTTGGTCAGGTAAGAGGGCACAGTGCCGCCGATGGTGAAGGCGGGAAGTAAAGAGTCTATGGCCTTCATGTAGTTGCCGATGTCCTTGCGCTCACTCAGGAAGCCGAACTTGTTACCGTAGAAGAGCTCACCAAGTACATCAAAGGCGTACCTGCAGGACATGTCAGCTTGCTGCCCCAAGTTCATCCCTTGGGGAGAGATAAACTCCCACGGGTAGGCGCCTGGAGCAAGGTTCGCTTACATATTGGTCCATAAACTTAGGTCGACTACTGACTTCTGCTCTGCGAATTCGCGCATGGTCTCGGAAAAGAGCTGCGTGCACGAGTCCATGGCCTTTTCGGATTCGAGGACGCTAGACATTGAGTAGACATTATTGACGATGCGTCGGCGCTCAGAATGCTCTTTTTCATCACGTGCAGGGAAATGACCGACGTATCCGTTGTTCGGTGGGGCCCAAGCATTGTAGTAATCGGTCTAATGGAGTGAGCTTTGCTTGTGAAAGCGAGCCACGGATAGGTACCTTGGTAAAAATGGTCTTAGTACCGTAGATAGTCTGTACTTGTCAGAAAGTGGCTTGGAAGTAGTCATGACAATGCTATACCTGGACGGCTTCGGGATCGGAGCAGGCAACCTCGTTGGGTGCGATGCGAACAAGATAGCCTGATCTGTTAGCCTGTGAGCAGCTGCATTGGCGCATCGATAGTCATTACCATATTTCTTGTGCAATGCTCGCTGCGTGTGTTCCATGTCACCCTTCACGGTCTTGAAGACGATCCATGCTCGACTGAAGGATGCCAGGAAGGGCCCTGGAATGGAGCAAAGAGGGTGGAAGTAGCGGCAATAGATGATCCAGCCAACGGCATAGATGGAGACGGAGGTGACAGCTGTCTGTATGAGAGAGAGGTTCCCCAAGAACATTGTCGGTCGATGTGGTTTGCAAAGGCGTGAGACACAATCTAGGAAGAGAAAGGGTGTAGGTCGATCTCGTAAACGAGGTCCTCTGGCAAGCCTATGATAAGGCAGGACTCAGGAGGAGTGAGGTTGCAATGAGGACTATGAAAGCACCAGCGCAATTCTTCAGTAGGCCAAGTCGTAGCTCTATTTTTGATCGATTACGTTAGGAACGGGATGGGGGAGTGCGGTGACTCTTTATCGATAGCACTGCAGGCCGCCTTTTCTTTCCTTGCCTCAGCGCAATCTTCTGCGGCCCTGCACGCATTGCCATTCGCGCAAATCATAGAATTACATTGCAGGAGCTTGCACCTGGGAATACCCACTTGGATGTCGCAGTGACATCCGAAAATTTGATGACGGGAGTTTATTACATACTACTAGCTTGTTAGGTCGCCTCAGGAATTACTTACTTTACTCTAGCGTATTCAAAATCCATATTAATGCTTTGCATCAGATTTTTTACGCACTCTATGGATTCAAAATAATTAACTTCACAATTACAATTCGGATTGGAAACACTTCTACATACAAACTAGACTTCTTATAACTATCATGTAGACGCTACTAAAAAAACATTCAACCCATGTCTTGAGAATCAGTGAAGAGGTATGGAAATGTACATTGATGGTATGAATCAGTTTTGCCTCTCAAGTCCCAAGACCCTGGGGGGTGGTTTCCCTGAGGTGGGACGTTCTCCGCGATGCCCAGGCGGATAATGGCGTGCACACTGATCAGCGGATTGCGCTAGTTGGGTCATTGTCGGTAAATCCACGCTGAAGCTGTTCGCTCGAATACACCTGCCAGATCGGGGGTTAAGAGAAGGGTGGGGCTCCGTGAGCAGAGCACGAAATTCGTCGAGCATCGGAAGCAGTCTCTGCCTCGCGGCGCTGGCATTCGAGTCTGGAGCATCACTGTGTAAAACTATGCTCGAAGGATAGCTCTGGACAACCCAACTGGGTGAGCTCGCTCTCGTAGTCAATATTACATTAGTACGTGTTAACGTAGCCTCGTTAGACGTAGAAATTTAACCTCATATCAAGACAGCGGAGTTGTTTTTTTACTTTTATAGAAAGATTTAGAATGCTAAATATAATTTCAAGATAGGCAATCTATAAATATTAAGCGCGGCACCTTCTAACGCGCGAATGGGTTGACAGCAAGGGTAGAAGTAAATGGGTAGGAGGATGGCGCTGCATAAAAGGGTACGGTTGAGAAGAAAGGGCGGGCTGATAGGTGCTGGTTATTGGTCTTTTCTTCGGCTTTGGCTGATGCTAATTCTTCTTCTTCTTTTTGTAATTAAAGTTTTGGATCGGTACCTGATTTTGTTTTCTACATTCAGCGATAACGTCCTCGTCCTAGTCTCTTTCCCTTCCCTTTCCCTTTCCCTTTTTTCCATTCCCATCCCCCTTTCCCTCTCTTTTCCGGGCCCTTACACTATTCAGGTTTGCAACCTATCGCCTCAAGTTCCAAAGCCGACCCATCAATGATATCATAAGAGCTCAACGTCGGACTATCTCGCAATGGCTGCTGCTTCCCCCGCTTTCTCAGAACCATCCTATCTGACTCCAGATCCAGTGGTAGCAGTATTGCCGCTGTCTCCATTTTCAGACCCTCGATATGGTAAAGTGGCGGGCAGGACCACCCGAAGAGTTTCCTGAATTCGGTGAAGATGATGACGCGTATCTCGGGTGGCTGACAGGTGGTAGCCATCGTATTTCAAAGCTCTGCTCTTTGGCAATAGGCTTGTTGGTGTCGGTTAAGCTCAAAGTGAGTGTGCTGATATGTGGCTGCTGACTGGTTCGATGGCTAGCTTTCAAAGTGGCAGGGCTTCTGCTTCGGTACGGCTGCTAGACAGATATTCTCGTAGTTGTTGAATGCTGTTGTCTGTTATCTTCGAATAGCGAGTCGGGTGGTTGAGATGGCTTTGATATGATGGGTTGAAGAGGATGAGAATATTCTTGAATGAAGAAAATGAATCATGCGTGCTTGATTTCCTGGTCGCGAGCTAGCGGTAAAATCAGTCTAGAGAAAGAAACCCTTAATGGGGCGACAAAACCATTGGGGATCGTCTTCCATTCGGGAATATACATGTAGAAAACTGCTTGGACGACATTATTCTGACGATGATGGGCACCTATGTAGCATTTTTTTCTGTTGCACTCTGCCGATTTGACTCCGGTCATGAAGACCTCATGCGTTGGAATATGAATAGAAAGTATGTAGTTGCTTTTGATCATAAGAGGCTGGCTCAAGCGTAGCTGTCGAAGTAGCAGTTACAAGTGAGTCTGTGTGATTACAGTTTTAGTAGCTGCAAGGGAGTCCTCGCTGCTTAGAACATTCGTGGCAATGATTCCGAAATCGGTTCCAAGAGATATAGGGGGTTCGATTATGGTTGTTATGAAGTCATGATTTCTTTAGTACTGATTAGATGAGGACTTGTGTAAACGCACTAGTAAGTGTCCGTTCTAAACGCCTGAAGTGTAACAACAGGATGTTTCTTTAGGAGATTACTACAGGAGGAATCGGTAATCTGCAATAGCAACCACTGACTTTCCCATTCGGGACACGAGAAAGCCCTGTTGGTGACAAACAATGATGCACTTGTCTCTCAGTAACTGTAGGAGATAGCCAGCTGTCCTGCCCAAGTCAAGCTCGAAGCTGATCGCAACCACCGTTTGATTTTGCTCAAAGCGTTCCTTCTTTCAGTGCCCTTTGCTAGTCAGAAGCTTCCCTCACTCAGAGCCTTTCCGTGGCTCGTACCCCCACCTCAGCTCTATCCGCCTCAAATTCTAATCTGTGTGCCTCCGCTCTCAAAACCTCTGCTCGACGCTTCAAGATCGCAGGCAGATGCCGTTGTGGATGAAATTTCAGGGTTCTGGCATAATATAGATGACCAGGATCATGCAGGTGGCCGACGACAGCAGGTCCCCATGTACTCTCGAGATACTTTTTGACAGCTTGTATCTTCGACTCCAGGTCCTCGAGGGTACCCTCGCTCTTGTTCGTTCCAGTACATCTCGCTCCGTCAATGATGCGGTGCTGAAGCTCAGGCGAAAGCTCCACAATGACTGTTCGAAATCGCGTCAGCGCTTTCAACCTTCGGTACATCCATTGGGGCAGCTCCTGCTCAATGTTGAAGGTCCAATGCCGGAACCTGATGCTCAAAGTGTTGTGGGTGGTTTCTGTGAGGTTGATACGGTCCAAAGTGGCTTTCCAAATCTGCTTCATGTTCTTCTTGAACCCCGATCTCGAGGCTGTGGAGGGCCCGTAACCCTCGTCCCCAACTCGCATGGCCAGACCCACATTCAGTTCAATGTTCTCCATACGTGCAACAGCTTTTTGGGGTGGGAGCAAGTTGGCTTTGTCTTTCATGAACAGGAGATGGATTCGAAAGATGCTCTCCGAGTAGAGAACCACCATGGCTTCCTCACTGATGGCTTTGGACACCTGTAGAACTCCAAGATTAAGGCGTGGAGGGGCTACCACTTCAGAGTAGTATTCTTCGCCCTCAACATGACTTGATTTCGACTCCACCTGTCCACCGGCAAGGAAAATCCCTTGGACGAGGTAACGGTAGATCTCGTCACGAAGCTCGCGCGGTATGTTGAAGAGTATGCCTCCCTGCTTCACGGCGGTCGAGCCTGCGACATTGGTGACTACTGACATGGTCAAAGTCTTCCCCAATTGAGGTGGCGTCCGCCTGCTATGTATTAAGGATGGTCCACGAATCTATTGTGTGGAGAGAGGGTTCGCGAGGCGGATAGAGGAAGGCACACGGCTCTGATTCCTGGAGTGTCAAGGATATCTGACTTGCACTGTTGATACGAGACGGGTAGTATGATACAGGATTTCAGCTCATAAGCTTTCCTGTGTAGACTTGTCGCTTGGAGCTTGGCTTCCGCTGGCTGGATATTGCCATGAATATTTTGTAGCTAATAAGTTACGGTTGCACGACAAATCAACGGGAAATAGTAATAACACTAGCAGGTGAGCTAGCGCTAGATGATACATCGCCACAGCTTGACTGGGGGCTAGTGAGGGAGAGGCACAGCACACTTATGGAGGCGAGATTGCCATGTTGGAAGAGCCTTGAATAGGCGGTGTCCCTCCTGTTTTTTACTCTTTATTCTTGTTCCTCTCGTCGCAAGAAGAGGTTTTTACACTTTTCCCACCCACCCGCGCCTTGTTTTTTCAGCGTTTTCTTGTACCTAGGTTCCAGGTCTTCTACCTTACGTAGAGGGAGTTTTTCTATGGCTGAGCTGCATAGTGGACCGCTGTCTACGTGCTACTGGGCCTTAGGACCCAGCCAATCATCATTTAGAACTCATTTGTGCGTGTAGTTTTCATGGGACGTTACGCGAGACAGCACTAGACAAGCAACGGCCTCAGACTCTAATTTACATCGTAAACCTTGCCAAGATCCAATGAGTAACAAGGCTCCCAATGTCAATATCAACATTTCACTACTATGTCAATGTAGGAGCTGCCTATCCCGAATAACGTGGAACGATGAATTCTGGTATGAGGGAGGCCATTCATACTGGCCAAGCCTCGAGCTTTGATTATTGTTGGTGTACTGATCGAGGTTGTTCAACCCTGAGCGTTCCTTTTTAGATTTTCTTGATTCCACAAACGAGATCAGGTTCAGTACCATTCCGGAGCCATCGGGATGCTGCTGGCTAAGCTACAAGTGTAGTAGCATGCCATGCGTATGATACATCTCTTACTGACCTATCGAAGTAAGCAAAGTGACGCCCACAAAGCTCTGTCTGAGACCATCAGCGCCCAGGTATCAAATTTTGGCCCCCAGCAACTGGAAATGAAAAGTGTGCTTAGTGACCAGCGAGACACTGCGAAACGGATTTGTCTTAACACTCAGAGGATCATCAAGCAGCAGGCATCCCTAGGGCGCTCGATGAGCACTCAGCATACCGAGGTCAGAGACCATCTGCACTTTCAAGCACGAAATCAAGAAAGAGCATTCCCGTCTCAGAAGTCCGCTGCAACTCAGATCGGCATCAATGTCCAGAACGCCAACGCCCAAGTAGAAGCCATTTTGGCCTTACAGCGATCCCTTGCAGAGTTCGTATTTTTTATATGCCTGGTGTAAGAGGCCAGAAGCTCCGTATCTGACATTTCGCAGAGGTTCGACGCCTTTCCAGAAGCAAATGCTCCAACTTTGCTTGATGGTGCTACTCAAAGCCATAGAATAATAGAGAATCAAGAGCAAATGCTAGCAAAGCTACAAGACGTTCACACTATCCTTAAGGTGGACAAGGAAATACCTGCCCAGGTTCTTTAATCGAAACCAGTCATCTTGCTTGATGCTCGCGGGCGGTTTTTTCCCATTCATCTTGAATCCATCGACTTCGCCGAGGTACGTATTCCCTCCTGATTTGCGGAACCAAATTCACGCACCAGTCCTGAGATTGGCGTTGCAGGCTTTTATCGCCATCTTGAAAGTCCGCTTTATGGACATAGGCTCCGCAAGATAGAGAAAGCCCAATTCGCCCTCGAGGATACAAGACTGAAACATGACCTCAGCCTCGCAAAAACTTGGACAGCAATTGTTAGGCCCGGACAGCACATTAGTATGAGCATGGTCTTTCGGCGGCAGCAGACATCTAAACCCGATAGAAAAACAGTAGCATGGACTACAAACGATGCCAAGACCAATTGAAGACCTGGCAGATGGAGGGCAGCACCGAAGGCGCGTCGTAACTCGCATGGCGTATTGACAGATATTCCTATCCGTTGCCACAAGCTCGAGCTATCATACTACTTACAAAATCACATTTTCGAAACTCGACTACCATCGCACCGGGCAAATCTCTTTGAGTTTTTCAATTGCTTGTGTGTCTGCCGCTCATTACCCATACATACTCTTCCTCCTCTAGCTAATGGTCTTACTCAAACTTCGTCTGCTGCTGGGGAAGTTCCAGCGCCATCTTCTAGATACCTCCTCCCTTCCACTTCGCTTCCCTCCCACTTCGCCTCCCTCCCCAGCTTGTTGATCAGGTGCTGGTGCGGGTGGAATGTGAGGTAGCTATGATAATCGAAGTCGCCAGGACCGGCAAAGTATCCTAGGGTAGCAGGTCCCATGAAGGTTCAAGATGTGCCTCGACCGACTGTAATCCCTCGTTCAAGTGGTCGCTTGCGTGCTGGGGGTCCTTTCTCTCGAAAATTGGTAAAGACGAACGGAGTTCAACTCTCACTGTTCGGAACCCTTCAAGCCTATTCATGGCGAGGAACAGTGGACTCGATAGCGTGTCGTCGAGCTCCCTGGTCACACGGAGTATGATCTGCATAGAGTGGCGCGTGATGTCCGTGCTGGTGAAATGGTCGATGGTACTGTCGCAGATATCTTTCATGTTCTCCAAGTAGGGTCGCGACAGGCGCGAAAGGTCGAATGGGCTCTGGAAGGGGGCGCCGAGGCCAAACATATGGTACTTGAGCTTCATCATGCGACCAGTGACTTTTATGGCGTATTGTGTACACGGTCCGTCTTCAGAAAAGTTGAGGTAGAACTCGAAGATGCTTTCTGCGTACAACACCCCGATCGGTTCTTGGCTGAGAGTTTTCGAGACTCGAAGGATGCTGAAGTCGACGCCATCGGGATCGTATCCTACACCGCCGGTAGCGGTGAACCTGGCTGCGGGAGTCAGACTGGGCGGTACAGCGATGATATATGTACCTTTGAAAAAGGTAACGGTAGACTTCGTCGCGGACTTCTCGAGAAAGCTTGTAGAAGCTGGCTTTGTCATTTGGAACGCAGTCATCGAAATTCTCTAGACTCGTAGCCATTGTAGAGGTGGGAGAGACAAGATTGATACGGCCAAATCGAGGGTTTAGAATGGCGGCGGAAGATTGTGAGATTGAGTGGGAGCTGGTCTTGACCGGGCCTTTCTTGTTGACGGATGACTGTGGGGGAGGGTCAGTGCTTAGCTAGATGACCAAAAGAGATGTAGATGAACTTGATGCTCACAATCTCGTTGAGGATTACTTCCTCAGGACAGATGTAGCATAACATTCATGTCCAAGTGCTTGGGGTATCGACTTGTTTCATGAGATAGCAGGTGAAGAAAGTAGGAGAAGTAGTCTGTCGGGGAAATTTTGGCTCAGGTTACAGACAGAAGTCTGAACACTAAGCCTCGCTTATTGTGACCGGGCTAATAACATTGAAGATCTTCTGCATTTGCTTCCAATTATCGTCACAGAACCTGCGTTGAATGTTTCAAAAGAAGAACTCAAGTAGCTAAGAGTCTCTGCCTCTATCTTTTGGAGTTTGAAGTCTGGGTAAGTCGATTGCAAGGTCGCCTATCACGGCGAAACCTCGGCATACAGACCTCCCTCTAGTACTGGTGCACCAATCAAAAGTCATCCTTTATCTTACGTAATCGGTTAGTAAATAATGACTCAACATCCACGAGACCTTTTCAAGGCACGAAGGATATCACACCAATCTTGATCGCGCTTTTGCATATCATCATGGCATCCTCCGATGATGATGATGAGGACCTGAAGCGAGCCATAGCATTATCCCTTCAGGATCCAACCACCGGCGGCGCAGGAGAAACAGCACGTGAAGCTATCAGTCTCGACAGCGACAGCGAAACAGAGACAAGGCCCACAAGGACAGCTAGCCGTGCAGACGTGATCAAAGAGTGTCCAGATATAAGAGCCGGACTAGATCTATCGGGCCTAGACCGTAAGCGAATGGAACAGGAGCGGTTGGGTAGGAAGAGAAAAGCGCCGTCAATATCACCTCCACCACCCCGTAGAACAGGGGCAAGTGGCCGTCTTATAGGATCGGTATCGGCAAGAGAGGCAACGGCAACAGCACATCAGGCTGCCCCAGCATCTCGAGCCTCGTCCGCCTCTAACGGCAAGGGTCCTGTGTTTCTTGCAGGAACAGTCAAGAAGACCTGGGCGTTCGGCCATGAACGCAAAGGCGATGACATCAAACTTGAAGAAGTTCTACAAAAAGATGAACTTAATCTGGCCGTTCTGAGTTCCTTCCAGTGGGACATAGACTGGCTCCTGGCAAAAATCAATACGAGAAGTACTCACATTACGCTTGTAATGCAGGCTAAGGATCAGGCGACTCAGCAGCAGTACCGGCGTGAAACCGCAGCAATGTTAAATCTACGGCTTTGTTTTCCACCCATGGAGGGCCAGATCAGTTGCATGCATTCGAAGCTTATGCTGCTTTCTCATCCTCATCACCTAAGAGTGGCGGTTCCAACCGCTAATTTGGTCTCGTACGATTGGGGTGAAACCGGCATTGTACGTGTATTCCATTTCGAGAGCCGGTCGGTTTGCACCTACTGAAGGAGTAGAAGGCCTTTTCTGACAGCCCATACCCGTCTCAGATCATTGCCTTGTTGAGCCCAAGCTGACTCTAAAATCCACGCAGATGGAGAATATGGTCTTCATCGTCGATATGCCACGTCTGCCTAAAGGTCAATGTACCAAAGCAGAGGACATGACATTCTTCGGCAAGGAACTGATCTACTTTTTGGAAGCTATGGGTCTTGAGCAGAGCATCATCGACAGCATGTACAGTTTCGACTTCACGTTAACCAAAGATGTCGCATTCGTTCATAATATTGGAGGTACGCATTCTGGAGATTTGTGGCAGCGTACGGGTTATTGTGGACTGGGTCGCGCTGTGCAGGAACTGGGCCTTGCAACGGACAAGCCCCTCCACATTGGATTCGTCACTTCTTCGGTCGGGTCACTCAATGACGACTTCTTAGCGATGCTCTACCTTGCTGCTCAGGGTGATGACGGTCTTACAGAGTACAGTTGGCGAAACCCACCCGTTACATCTAGGAAGAAAAAGACGGCGCATGAGGATATACAAGCAAATGACAGTGTACGCGAGCGATTACGGTCCCGTCTAAGACAGGATTTTCAGGTCTACTACCCTACTCACGACACCGTTAAGAATTCAACCGCGGGCTCAGCAGGTACTATTTGCTTCCAGTCCAAATGGTACAAATCGCCGAGTTTCCCGCGGGAAATCCTACGGGACTGCAAGAGTGTACGGCCTGGTATGCTTATGCATAACAAGGTATGGTTCGAATGCCCTTCTATTCGCTGTGAGATTGTGCTAACACCATTAGCTACTTTTGGTACGGTCGGAAGACGACCCATCCAAGTCCTGGGCGTACATCGGGTCAGCCAATTGTTCGGAGAGCGCGTGGGGCAAGCTTTTCAAGGATCGGGCAACAAAAGAGCCCAAGCTCAATTGTCGCAATTGGGAATGTGGGGTGGTTCTGCCAGCGCGTCTGAGTGTGTCTAGTAGCGACCATGGTGATCTGAAAGAGTTTGAGGGCATCGTCCCGGTCCCAATGCAGGTCCCTGGGGACGCATACGGCGATAAGAAGCCTTGGTATTTTACGGAGCAGTAAGCATGTGGCGGCCGGTATGAAGTGGAGGCTTGGAAACTAGGCCGAGTGGAAAGGCTTTTGTGCATTGGATGAGAGATTGAATCCTGGATCCGTTGCATAATACACCGATTCAGAATTGAAAATTGCATTCTATACCGCAACATGAGAACATGTTGGTTGGAAACCCATCTTGATAGTGCCTTGTCAGTGCCTTGTCGTGCAAAATTCTACCTGAGTACACGTTCGAATGGACTCATGCTGGAACCTACAGATTGTGAAGTTGTCAGAGCAGCTTTAGGGAATGCAGTACTGTGGGCTCGTTTGGAATGTCTTTACCTTCGGAAGCAAAGTATCCAAACGAATAATACAAGACTCTAGCTGCTGAACCAGACGGGTAAAGTGTTAAGGGAAATTGTTAAAGGAAAGTGTTAAAGGAAAAGTGTTATGGGGAAAGTGTTAAACGCGAAGCGCGCTAGTGGATGCAGGTCAACACTCCGCTCCCGGCTCCATCCCCATCCTCCCCCTCCAAATTTGTGCACCATAACCATAACTCTTAGATTTGATCACTCTCGCCAGCATAATTTTCTGCCTCACGCCATCTGGATCAAAGCAACTCTGGCTCAAGGTACATGGCCTCACGCTCGGCTCTGACTTCGCTTCGATGCTAAATTGACATGCAAATTGAAGCCTTCCCTTGTGCTACAAGCCAGACAACGATCCCCCTGACTCCTACAGCACCCCAAACACTTCCACTTACCACCACTGGTGACGAACGCCGCTGGTGGCCTTGTCCCTACACGCGACACTCTTACCCACGCACAGCGCAGCAGGACCCAGCAGACAATGCCTAGGCTCCTCGACCTCCCAAATGAGATCCTCGATAAGATCGTCGACCAGATCCATCCTGAGGACATCATCAACTTCTCGCTTTCTCGCTTGCGCATCTACCGTGTCGCCAGGGACGCCGTGTCACTCCACCTGGAGCGGAAGACGACTTATGAAGACGTTGTACTACATGGTTGCCACCGCCATGCACATAACGCTCATCCGTTGCGATTGATACAGGATATCTGTATGGATTGGAGGATCGGAGAGTATCCGAAAGTTCTTATGATCGAGTGTTGCCACCATCCTTGTCATCCAGACAATTTTAGCCCTGAAGAAGACGATAATTACGTGGAAGAGTATCAGATTCAGAAGATGGAAGATGACGAGGTTGTCCAAACAATCATGCCAGTCATTCAGGGTTACATTGAAGAGAAGGTCGCTCAGTCACGGGTTTCAAATCAGAGGCGTTTTGACGTGGGGCGTTTGTGTGACAATGTCAGAAATGGAGAAAGAGACTCAGCATTTGCTTTCTTGCTTTTTTTCTTGCCCAATCTGGAAGAAATCTGTCTTGCCCAATCCACATGGCACTTTCGTACCCTGGAGCACGCGATCCTCGCAATCTCCGAGCAGAACCTGCAGCGGACTCCCTGGACACGAAAGCCTCTTATGAACCTGTCCCAAGTTCGCATTCTGGGTTCGTCTGATGACATCGGTGATGGTGAGGATTTTCAGGTCTTTAGTGGCATACGCTGCGCTCCCATCAATGCGGACGATGTTTGGGCACTACGTGGAAGGTTACGACAGTGCTGAATGCCAATGGGAGTTCCCACCACACACCTCCAACGTCACTGAGATCCTTCTTCAACACAGCGCAGTCATAGCCGAATACCTAACGGAGCTGCTGGCCGGAATCAGAGCACTGAAACGTTTCACTTACAGTCACAACGAAAACCTCGTTGAGGGTTCTGGAATGGAACCCCACAAGATCCTTGGAGTTCTCCTCGAACACGCCAAACACAGCCTCGAGTATCTATCTCTTACTGGACGTTATGATCCGCATGATGAAGAGAGCGATATTGACCCTCGCAATGGATCATTACGGGACTTTGAAGTCTTGAAGGAGATCGTCCTTGACGGCCGCGTTTACGTCGAACACACTCCGGATGACAGTCAAGAATCCAACTCCGCCGACATCTCCTACCCCGAAACCCACGGACACTTCATCCGGCATTTGGTTGATGTGCTGCCCCCTTCCATTGAGACAGTAAGCCTCGTTGGGGCCGGAGGGGCGGCTCATGTTCCAGACTTACTCGAAAACCTCTTAGAACAAAAGGAGCTACGGCTACCAAAGCTCAGAAACCTCATCATCGGGGCATGGTACCGCCGCCCAAGCGGCTGGGAGATGGCGTTGAGGGAAAGGTGCGAGAAGGTGGGTGTGACGCTGAGGGCAGTCCAGGAGTCGGAGAGGTTCTGGCGTTGGTCATAAAACCTACGCTCATTAGGTCATTCATGCACTGGTCGGTTTCAAGGGATTCTAGAAATCAAGAGCAGGTCTCTCACTTTCTTTCCACTCGAATGGATTAGCTGGTCAGACTGGGGCCTAGGATAGTACTTCACTCTTGCGTTTATCTGAGCAGTCGTCGACCTTTCTCACTGAAACTCCCAATCTCTCATCTAAATGCCGCTTCAACCTGACAAATCAACAAAAGTAAAGAGGCTCTTGAACAGAAGCAGAAGAGGCGACGGGCAAGCTTCTGCCCGATACTCCCGTCTCGCCGCATGAATCGATGTCTATGAAGCTTGGCGACAGGCGTCTTTGAGCAACCGGCGGCTTCTATATGGTTCAGCTCTAATCACTACTCATCCTTCAGCACCGTTCAACTCAACATCTATTGACAACTACTGTCACCAGAGAATGATCCGAGGTCTGTGGCTTTACAGGAGTGGTCTGATTGGATGTGTACATTGCCCTCTCGGCAAAGCTGCACCCTTCTCCCTAGCCTGGCTCCGATCTTTCACCTCAGCTACGTGTAGGTCACCAGGTCTATTCGCCACCCAAGTTCTCCACGTTGGAACGCGGTCTTGCTCTTGCATCGCCAAGAGCTCGAGTAACCAACCACTGTGGTTGCGGATCGGGAGGTCGAATGATGTGTCTCGGGTGGTGCGGATCGGAAGCTCCGAGGACGTGGCGGGGGTCAAGGGAAGAGCCGCATTGAGGATCAATGAGTGCTCTCTGCGCATGGAGTCGTGTTGCAGCTTGTCTTCGTTCGCGCATAGGAGTGGCTCGGGATCCGTGTAGACGTATGGGAGCGATCGTGGGGAGAGTTTTGGGCGCTCGACTTGGCCGGGTCGATCGTTCGAGGTAGTCGCTTGCTTTGGTTCTCCGAGAGTCTGGCTAGTTGACGCTCTAAAGGTGGCTGCCTGCTGTTTTCTCCACAATCAGTGGCCAGCCATGGTGGGTATCCTAAGGTTGGGGAGGCTGCATGCCTTTTTCTTGGCCTTCTGCCGCTTCTTACTTGCTGGCTCGCCACGTCATGCTTGCCACGTTGGATCACGGCCGTGTCGGCGTCTGGCTCTACCGGGAGTGCGAGCTCTCCAAGGGGTTTTTGTTGCCGATGTTTTTGCGGTTAGATGTAGGTAGTATCTTACGATTGGAGGGCAGTCGTACCCGTTCCTTCAATTCTGAAAAACTTGCCTATCGCTTTATGTCCTTCCGACAAATCCTCTTCGTCTCCTTGATCCAGTCTGAATCTATCTTTATCATGAGCAGAGCCTGCGTAAGTGTTAGCTATCTTTTGGCAGTCAGACTCTGTATCATTGCAAAGTACCACGGCTGCTGCTCGCCTAGCACTTTTCTTCTGACAGTTTGAGGGCAATATTGGCTTCGACTCTTGTGCTGGTGCCTTTACCTCCTGGTCAAACTCCATGGCATCGTTGCCCTGTCGTGACACCTCGAGTCAGCTTCGGCATTTTCCAGTCGCAGAGTTGTGGGGGATGTCGTCGGTGTTTGTGACGATAACGTGACCGTGGTCATGAAAGTTGAGGAGTGGTTTGTGGAGAGCGATGTGTTCAAGATGGGTTTGTGGAGTAATGTGGCGACCAAGTCGGTGCAATAGGGTGGTGAGATGCAAATGGAGGTTGCGATACTAGCTTAGGTAATTCGGGATGGCAGGTATGGACAGAAGCGCAAGAGGTAAGAACAGGTAGCCTACATGATGAGGATGGAGACGGGATGTAGACTTTGCTTTCTAACCATCCATATGGATATTCTGCCCTGTTGGTTCCCACTATTCAGTTGGCCGACCGATCGAATCTATAAGTTGTGCCATCTCCAAAGGTATACCAAGGCAAAAAAGTGAGTTCTGACTTAGAACCACATGCTCAGGCTCATTCCGAGTCCGACCCCTAATTCTTAATATACTGTTGTATTCCCTAAGAGTGCGTCAAGGGGCCCTTATTCGTTGCCTTCGGCCTCTTTTTATATCTCTGTTCTTTACTCTGACACGGATCCCTTGGACCATGGTACTTGAAGACGCAACTAAGGCATAACCCGGCATATTTGCACTCGATAGCGCCCGACACAGCTTCTGTACGGCTCAGACGTCTTTCCGCGAGGCCAGCAAGTTCGAGAACTCGTTTTCCAAGACCCTTTCAGTCTACGAAGAGGGAAGAGTTGGCACGGCTCTGCTTGCACGCAATGCATCTTCAAGCATATTGATAATCATCCGTTGCTTGATTTGCTTGACCTCATCTATCGAAAAATTTCTCAAATCCTTCCGCGCGTACCTCAGTGTGCCCTCATCTGGCTCTGCGCCATGATTCAATAAAAATTGCACCATGGAGTCTCCACACCCAAATATTGCTGCTTCGATTGGATTCCTGTAGAGATCTTGGTCCGATACTAAATAGTGCTTGTTGACTAAATAGTGCTTGTTGATTGTATAGTACATTGTGTTTGAGGCCTTCCCAAAATTGGCATCTGCACCTTTATCAAGCAAAAGCCGTACCGCTTCTTCATTTGATTCCGAGAGAGCAATCATGAGTGCAGTGCCATGTCTTGGAGAAACAGCGTCGATATCCGCACCAAATTCGAGTAGCAGCTCTATAACTGGGACCACTCCCAGTAATGCTGCTTCCTGAATGAGGGTAACCTCACTGGGGAAGTAACTAGAGGTCTCGCGGTATTGTTGATTGACGTTCGCACCTGCAGAAAGCAGAAGCCGCAAGATGGCTACTTTTTTGGTCAACGCTACTCGAGGAGCAGACTTGGCCGATCCACGTTTTTCTGGGAGTTCTATATCGTTAACATCAGCCCCGTTCTCGACGAGGAGCTGTACGACATTGAATGAGTTGCTTTCAACACTGTTGCAAAGAGGACTTTCTCCACGAATGTCGTTTCTTATATAGTTGACGTAACCTCCTCTGGCTATGAGCTCAGCAATCAAAGGGCAAGGATCAAAATCATCGATCAGACGGCTAGCACTCCACAGCGCCTCATCTAGTGTTTCTAGGTCGAGGACGTGGAACAAAGCCTCATCCTTGAGAATCCTAAGCGCTTCAGAAACATCTCCTATATCGACAGCTTTGATGAGTCGTCGTCTCGGACGTGACATTCTTGCTAAGAGGGCTGCAACACGGGGAATGTGTGTTCTATCTCTGGGCGGCGTACGCGCAGAGGCGAAGATCCGGTCGGACGCCTTAGGGTTAATCTTACGCCCTGGAACAATGGGTTTTGCGTTAAGGGCAGACCCCGACGACTGTGCCAAGGCGAGCGGTTGGTCTTCGCTGATACTTCCAAGAGACTCAGACTCGGCGCGCTCGATTTGTCGTCCCGTGCCTCGACGAACCTGCTCGAGGTTGCTCCAGGATTCTCTCTCGTCGCTGTAACTGCTCTCCTCATCAATACCGTGTTCGTTTTGTTCTTCGAACGCCCCTGTCTCTACTGCGCGGACGAACCAATCGAAGATGAAACCTCGATTCGCGTCGAATGCAGCCACGCTAATGCCAATATCTTCCAGCTCCTTGCGAATGGTCCGCCACACCACCCTGTCGTCGGCTGAGAGGCTGTCCGCAGTCTGGAGCGAGGCAACTGAGGCCTCCCTCTTTCCTTGACGAAACTCTTCTATGAACTTGTCGAGCTTGGTTTCAACACTGATCTGAGAGGTACTGATGAAGGCGGTCAACATGGTGATGTTCGAGGTAAGACGAGCTCGGATCTCGGCTATGTCTTCGTTGCCCCACTTCATTCGGTCCCATGTCTGCTTACTCTTGGTGCCCAGACTTTCGTACTTATTCACAAGGGTCTGCAAGTCTGCAAGGACTGCATTGCATCCGTCTTTGATCACCTTGAACCTCTCCGCCCTCGCAGGCGGCAAGGGATGTGTGAAAAGTGTCTCCTCGCTCTCTTTCAGCACAGCGTGCAAGGACAAGACCTCTGTGCTGATGTTATCAAAGCTGCCGGGGGCCGCTTTACCTGCTCACAGTTCAGTCGGCTGGCGGCCTACAAAGGGTTCGGACCTACAAGATTTATAGACACTCCATGCTAAGGTTCCTACAGCGACGAAGTCGCCGACTCCGAATCCGTATGGAACGGGCATGCTTCGTGTTGAATGTTTGGAAGCTAGCAAGGCGGGATAATGTGGGTTCAATCGTAGAGATAAGAATGGCCGCAGCCTCGGGCTTTAGTGTTATTTCTGATTGGACGCAGCACCATGCACTTCCCGCACTCCGCAGCGCTTATATGCGGGAGCAGCAGTTGTATTATTCATGTCGCGAGGCCGAGAACGAGGTCAGCATTGTGGCTTGGCTATGCTCGGCTTTTTTGTAGGCTGTCACACATGGCATTCATCCTAAACCGCTGCACAAGGGCATACGAAAATCGCAGATAGATCCACCGGTCATAATAAAGTCCTATATTTGTATCAGGTCGCTTGATCGCGATAGAGTAGACGTATGTACTACCTAGTACGAGCAGTATTGGTTCTGTTTCCAGATGTTAAGGGATACAAGTACGCCGTACGAATTGTAGAAAGCCTAATGGGTAATTCATAGGGTAAAAAGGTGTCCTGTCGGCCGGCCTCTCACTGCAGGGTCTTCCGCATTGATTTAGCGACTCCAATGGCTGTGAGGGTTATGCAAGGCTCTGCGCCCGGTTTTGATGGGGGCTTGAAATAGGAAGCAGAAGGACCTAAAACAGCACCAAGTCGCCTCATCTTTGATAAAGTCATTCAAAGAGCGTTTGGGACTTTATTTGACCTTTAGCCTCATAGTCTACAAGTACCACCATCGGTACATGTTTGTTGTTCAACTTACTCTCGTGCGTTCCAGAAGTGAGCTACTTAATAGAGCGAGGACACCAATAGATCAAGCGACATCCCACTAAGTAAAAAGATCGATTGGTGTCCTCGCTCTATCAAGTAGCTCACTTCTGGAACGCACGAACATGTCTTCTTAGCAGCAGGTTATGATGCAAAAGACCCGCCAGCCCAAGTGATCAGTTGCTGCCATGAGCTCCTAAAGACGAGAAATCGCTGATCGGCAGAACGAACGATGCCATTGGGAGGATCAACATTTGGAGCAATCACTGTCCTACTGCCTATGGACACTAGTCACTAAGCAGAGCATCATATCGTCCTAACATACACATCAAGATGGACATGGCGTACCGTAGCTCTGACTCTGCCAACGGTCCCCGTCACTTTTCAACCGAGACTTGAACCGAGAACGCTACATGGGCCGATTTCATTTTCTCTTCCAAGACATCACAGAGCTGTAATCGAGTTGCTAGTCTGATACTTAGTTTCATAAGAAAACGTACAATACTAGGAAATGCGGAATTTTTAAATTCGATAAATTCGACATAGCTGGCTATTACTATCATAGCTATTACTATTACTTATTTAAATAGCTTATTACTAGACTCTATTATAAGAGCTAATATTACGATATTATAGTTATCGACTATAGATTTAATATAATAAGTATCTTTAATATAGATATTTTTTAAGATATAAAGAGAGATAAAAGTTTTATTAAAGAGAAGACTATTATATCTCTTACGCTAGACTTACTAAGATTACTATTATTTACTTTATTAAGAACTTTATAATAGTTTTTACTATAGTATCTTTATAATAATATAATAAGATAAAAGAGATATAATTTTTACGCGTTAATAAATTAATAAGATTTAAAAAATAATAATTTAAGTTTCTCGATATAGAAGTCTTAATAGTAAGAAAGAATTAGAGTTATTAATTCTTATTATATAAAGTTATTATAGAATTTTAATAAGAAGTAGATATTTAAGTATTAGATCGAACTTATCGAATTTAAAATTTCGTATTTTCTAATATTATACGTTTTCTTATAAAACTAAGTAAATACTTAAAGAATAATAAAAGAATTTACTATTTACACTCTTTGAATATAGAAAGTAAAGAAAGAGAATAGATAGATGAGATCCAAAATGCAAGAATAAGGGCAAATTACAAATTCATACCCCAAAACCTTAAATCCTTACAAATTCATACCCCTAATTACATTTTCATACCCCTCCACCAAATCTTGGGGTATGAAAATGTAATTTACCATTCTTTGGGGTATGAATTTGTAATTTATTAAAATTTGGCCTTTGAGTGTCCGGCGTTTAACGTCCCTAAAGAAGCCCCGGAAGCATTAAAAAGCCCCTAGAAAATTGAACCCTAAATTTATCGCGGATTGGGGTGAGTTGGGGATTAGACCCCGGAGCGAGGTTTTGACGAGTTACACGGCGAACCCTAGAGGTCTTCAGTTCGGGGTTCCCGAGGCCGGTCCGGGCTAATTTCGCAACCCCCGAAGATCTAACCTCAGCGCACTATGGTAAATTACATTTTCATACCCCAAGGAATGGCAAATTACCGATTCATACCCCATTGGGGTATGAAAATGTAATTAGGGGTATGAATTTGTAAGGTTTTTTTTTTTTTGGTTTTATTTTTTTTTTTTCCCTGGGGTATGAAAATGTAATTAGGGTATGAATTTGTAAGGATTCAAGGTTTTGGGGTATGAATTTGTAATTTACCCCAAGAATAATGAAATTCAGTAATTACACTCGGGGGAGACAAATACAGAAAGTGAAGAGGATAGATGAATGGGATCCAAAATGCAATCTGGATGACGAGACCATCGAGCCATCGCGCACTCGGCCTTCCTAACTTCGTCCTAGAGAATCGGATTCGGACTGCGGCTCTATTTGTCCAGGTGAGGATTTGTCTCTTGGATCTTTTAGGCAGGCACGTACTAGTAGAGCTTAGCCGAAAGGGTGAGATGTCGGGATTGTGTACGCGTCAGATTGTTTCAAAGGTATGCTTCAGTTGTGCGGAGACTGCAGAGAGATACGAGCTGAGGGCAACCCTAACTTCATCGACTTTATACCCAAGAAGGCAATTGTGGAGCTTGTCAAACGCAAGATCGATGACTAGCCAAACGATTCAAGCTATCTTGTGACTTTTGTGCTCGTTGCAGCCCTGCGGCGTGCATTGTGATGTGGATCCCGGCGAGATTCTTCGCAGTGAAGAATCCCGCTAGGGCTCGCTTATGCGGGCGCGGGACACTACTACGTAGGGCACCATTCTGCGTTACCTTAAACCGAGCGAATTCTGACAAGTGCAGTAGGATTTGACCAATGATATTTTTGTGCCTAGGAACCCTTGATCCTACATCATAGGATTTTGATATCCTTCACACCAAAGTCTCAGTATCTCGAGAGACAGATGATTACACATCAGGCTTTCAATGGCAGACGCAACCAGCCATAGTACTGAAATAAACGCGTGGTACCACTCAATTGGTTGCAAGGATTCCACTGTGATCCAAAGCCCGAGGCGATGACTCCTGCTCTAGATTGTGTGAGATCTTACGCACGATGCGTTGCAGCTGATACAGTGATATTTCCTAACATCCTCTTGCACTTTTGAGGGGCCTCATTACGTCGGATTCACCCCTTTCTGATCCCTTCGAACAAGGCAAACACTCTCATGGACACTCGCCAGACGTGTCTATTCACTCTTTCTGGCCCTTATGGCCTGTGGTCCTGACCGATTCCTCCTCAATCCGTTCCATCTAGCCAAAAAACCCCACATCCTTGGGGTTTGCTAGAATATACCTCTCACAAAGTCCTGCACGAGACACCATCATTCACTCAAGACTTCAGACTTGTCCCACTGACAATTCTTGCAAACATGGGCAACTCGGGTAAAGACATCCCTTCAAGTAGACATGAGACTGGCCGGGCCGTATGACACTGCTGAACATGTCACAGGCCACGGCAAAGAGAAGAGCAAAGTAGCTAGGGGACCAGGGGACGACACTCAAGCAAGGGAGAGCCAGCATGAGACCGCTTCGTGAGTAACCTCAAAGTGCTTCTGTCCAACGTCATACACGGGACGCTAACTTGGACCATGAAAGATTGAAGCAAGACTCGCCGACCAATCGCGCAGACTCTGGCACTAGAAAGAACGAGCACTACAATTCCGTCGAAATCTATGACAAGATGTCAAGGTGGTTGGAGGGAAACCCTCAGGAAGAGCCGTGGAGTGCCGTTAGCTCCTTTTCGAGAGGTCACCCGGGGAACGGATAGCCAGCTCAGACAGCGTACAAGACAGGCCGTTTCGGAAGGTCATGCACGGCAAGGGAAACAAGCAAGGGGAAATTCGACTTGCGTGGTTGACGTATGATTGTAACATGTTTGGCATAAAAGGGGTATCATGTTTATCTCCAAATATTGATGTTCTCTTCTTAACACCGAATCACAAGGTCCCGCCTGATCGAGCTGCAATCAGTCGTAAGAATTCTCGCATCAAGTCCCAATTCAATGGCGTTACCTGTACGAGAGAGCCCGGGGCGGTATCGTGGGACGGCCTACCCATTTGTAGACACTGTGAAGGGCGTGGGACTGGTCACCGTAGTCCAACACTGCAAAATCCCCACGCAAGGTGACACTGATGGGCCATTATCGAGGTGCTTGTTACGCCCTAAGGTCTTGACCTGCATGTTGAAATCTCGCGCGGCCGAGTCTTCTTCCTTACCCTAATGCTGCAAAGATCTCGAACTCACTACGACATTCATATTGGGTACGATGGTGCAGGTCTGCTTCCCGGACGTTGGGGCTCCCTCTATACTTCATGGATCTAGCCGAGTGTTTTAAAGAGCAGTGACTCGCACAGAATATCTGAAGGTTCTGCGAAGGTTGTAGCGGGACTCAGATCGTTATTGCACGGGAACAGTTTTCATTAAAGTAGATATCGCGCTAACCCAAAGTAGTAACAGTAGACGAGAAAGATCGACGCAGGGTTCTGCCATTCTGTCACCCACAAGTTCACTCGACTTCCTTGACTCCCACCATCGCGCTTCTCCCTTCTCCTCGCCCACATTGCGATAATATGACATTGGTGAGCTGAAGCTGGAGCTCAGAACGTTACTACCGATGCAGAACCAGATCCTGAGTCGTACCATGGTCTCCAAGGCTACAGCTCCAGCCCGTTCGGCACACCAGACACTATCCTGCTAATTCACCCGCTCTACTGCGGCTAGATGGAGCATTGGGGGCCATGATTGGTCTGCTAGGCACACTCATGCAAGTCAAAGATTTAGAATCGCTCAAAATTGCCCAATTCAGCTTCCTAACCTCGTTGCTAGTCCTCCCTCGCACGCATGGCCAGACGAGGCTGGACTCCTGGAGCCGCTGCCGTCGAGGAGCCATGGAGGGGCTCTACACCTTCCTCTCCTCGCCCTTCCCTCCTACACTCTATGCCAAACAGTCATCATCGGGCATCTTGGTGAAATTGTGAGCTCCCGCGACAATGGCTGCGAACAGAGTAATCCTTTACGCGTCGCTGCTCTGGCGGATCGCTATCGCTATGCCATGGATAGGACCGATGCCTACACCTGTTGGCCTGATGGCTATAGCCGGGGTGTCGCCGCGACCGACTGAAGCTCCCGGCTCAAATGGGATACCGCAAGAGCTCCTAAAAAGAGAGAATGTGCAATATCCCCCGCCCGCGAATTGGTGCGGTTTCGTCAGTGGCATCTATGGTGAGTAGATGCGTCGTCACCGGCTTGATGTCACCGCCTAACTTGTCGCGCAGATGATCCTCTCTCCTGCAACATTGGCTTGACTTGCGTCAACTCGGGCGAAGCAATTGGCTGCTGTACAGCTACCACGGGAATTTGCTCAGCGCTCTACACCACCTGTGTCAATTATCAATATGAATGCGACCAACCGTGCCAGCTAGACCTGGCGATAAGAAAATGGTGCGCAACGAATCTCCTACGCTTCTTCTTCTAGCTTTGCTAATGGATACTTTCTCCAGCGATGCACTCGAACCTTTCTGCGGCACCTACGCATTCCCTGGCGATACCACCCTCTTCGACTGCATGGTAACATCGATGTCCATTCAGGACGTCGAGTTCTTGAACGACTTCTACATAACCGCCATTGGTAGCACCCTTGCATCCGATGCCACAACAAACCCCTTCGGCTTCACCGCCTCTGCCTATCTCGACTCCTTCGCAGCCACCCCTACAAACAGCGACACAGGCTTAGCCTCACAGTCAACTTCAGCCTCATACTCGGGATCAAGCTCAGGTTCAAATCCGGGCTCTCACAGCGGTCTCGCTCAAGGCGCAATCGACGGCATCGCAGCTGGTGTCGCCATCATTGGTGCATTGATAATCGGCCTTGTCGTATTCTGCTGCATCCGCGTCCGCAGGCGTAAAAGGATCGCCGCTGCTTCAACTCCTCCTACATACTTCCCGCCTCCCATGCAACAGCAGCCACAACAACCACCACCACCAAAAGTTTTCGACGGCTACCAATCCGTCCCCCAGCACGAACAGCAATATACACAATACCCTGGTCCCCATCAACAAGCCGAGCCGTACTTTCCTCCACCAGCTTCAGCCGTCTCGCCCCAGTCCACCGGCGCAAACGACCCACGCTTTAGCCTAGCAACTACTAGCCTTTTTTCCCCGCGGCCAATTGAGCCAGAGCAAAGGCAAAGCTATTATAAACCACCTCTCTCCCCTACGATTACAGAAGTGGATGGAACAATGGGGAATCCGAGCGTCCCAACTGGCGTGACACATGGTGCGCCAACAGAGGTGGACGGGACGATGGGAAACCCGGGCGTACCAGCCGGCGGGCATGGAATTGAACACCAAATGATGCCGGGTGGAAGTCCGAGCGCTGCGGAGATTGACGGCAGGATGAGCAGTGGGGTGCAGCAGGCACCGTTGCGCAAGCCGGTGGGCAGTGAGCAACAGGGCATGATGGGAGCTTCGATGATCCAACCGTTCTCTCAAGGTCCGTATGAGCTGGGGCATGACGGACGGTGATTGGGAGGTCGAGTGGCTTATATTTTATAACCCTTGGATTGACGTATTTTCATGATATGAGGAGCTATGAATAGGATGGGTATGCAATTGATCTGCTGGCTTCTATCTATTATATCAGGCTTTTGAACAGGCAAAAATGCGCATCGCTTCGGGATTTATCCGATATCTAAAGCACGAAGGAGGCGTGACACTTGAGTTGTTAGCATCGCCCATCCTTGATTCGAAGATCCGTATTGAGGCGGCAATTGAAAGACAACGTCCTTTCAGTATGAGGTTTGTTATATCTTATATCCACACCTCTTTACAAACACGGCCTCCGATTGTCTATCTTCCTAAGTATCCTTCAAAGTCAGTATGTTGAAGGCTGAACACCCTGAATCGATCGATCGCACGCAACCTTTATGTTGAACCCCCCGGCCTCCGAAAACAAAAACCCCCCACTGGTATTTATCTCACATGTTAAATGCCCAAGTTTTCCGATCTCATCCCCTCGTGCCCAATTGTTGAAGGGTTGGCGCTTTCCAAAATGACATTTTACACCCTTATACGCCTAATGATTGATCCTCTCGTCCCAAATACAAGGTAATGAAAGAAACAGCCCTGTGCACACTTCAAGCAGACCTACTCTACTTACCCCCTCCCTTCACCACATCCATCTCCTTCGAAAAGCCGCAACGTACTCCTCAGCTTCGCGAGCATCTCCTCCCACTCCCCCTCCTCGGAGCTGAGACTCGTCACCGCGCCCCCTGCCCCGATCGTCCATTCGTCGCCCTCAGCTTCGTTCCCTCCATCTCCATCTGTAACATTGTCATCTCCAACGACGCCGTTTTCTCCACTCGCTTCGCGCTTGGGACGGGCATTGTGATCCCATCGCACGGCGCTGCGGATGACGACGGAGAAATCCCCACCGCCGCCTACGTCCATGTAGCCGAGTACGCCGGAGTATACACCGCGAGGGCGGTTCTCGAGGGAGCGGAGGATCTGGCAGGAGCGCAGTTTCGGGGCGCCGGTCATGCTGCCGGGTGGGAGGGAGGCGGCGAGGATGTCGATGCCTGTTTTGGCTGCGTGGGTGCTCTGCGTGGTCTTTCCCATGCTGGGGTGATTGGGGGTGCTGTCGGTGGGGTGACTGTCAGTCCCGTTGTTTCCGTTGCTGGTGTCTCTGTCATGGCCGTCTTCAACGATGAGACTTCCCTCGACAACACTGACGAGTTGGAAGAGCGTAGCGTACTCCTCCACCACCATCAACTTCGGCACACTGACCTTTCCCGACCCCACTACGCCGTGGAGATCGTGCCGTATCAAGTCCACAATCATCAGATTCTCCGCGCGCTCTTTGGGCGTCGCGAGCAGAGCTGTCGCTTCGGCGAGGGTAAGTGGTGGAGTGTTGGGGTCAGGTTGGCGCTTCACGGTGCCCTTGATGGGACGGAATTGGCAATTGATGGTCTTCTCTTTGCGGTCAAATGCGTCATTGGTCTTGGAACCTGACGACTCTGTTGGTCGCGACCACCGCAAGAATCGCTCGGGTGAGCTGGACAGGAGAGTCAGTTTTCCGAGACGCGCGTAGGCGGAGAAGGGAGCTGGGTTGAGTTGGCGAAGGCGGAGGTAGAGTGGCCAGGTTGGAAGACGGTTCTGGGGGTGGATGGTGGCTTGGTTTGTCAGGCAGAGCTCATAGGAGTCGCCGGCTCGGATTGCGGATTGGCAGGCTCGGACTTTGGACTGGTAGGAGGCAGCGTCGGGGAGTGACATTTCAGCATTGAAATAGAGAGGATCTGGGGTCGGAAATACTGGGGCTATAGGTCTTGTGCTATTTAATCGCAGAGTAGTCTTATCAAGCCAGTCTTGATCATCGGGCTTGATTGTTTGGACATGGATCTTTTGGTGGAAATGATCAATTACAATACTTCGTTCGACGAACTTGAAACTTAAATCCGGTCTTTGGAAGTCGTTTTCGGTGCGTCGCTGCGAGTGGGTGATGCCAATGGTCTCCAGACATGCTTCATAGCTGATAAATCCCATGAGACCGCCCCAAAAGGGAACCCCTGTGTTGGAACTTTCGACCTTGTACTGAGCCATGAAAGTTTTCAAGTATGAGAAGATACTCCCTCCACAGCGTCGAAGATCTATTGTGTCGCTCGATTGATTGTGGACTCGGCGGACCTCATTCGTGCCAACATTATAATCGAAATGCATGGAGTCTGTGGATATGATGCCGATGATGCTGTGCTCTCCCACATCATGCCTTTGATGCATTTCGGAGTCCAGGATAATTGCATCTCCGTCAGTCAAGCCAAGAGTCTCACAGATCGAGGGTACAGTGGCTTTTCCCACATTTATAATTCGTGTTTCAACCCGGACTTTGCTTTTTTGACGGTGACCTTGCGATAGATAGGCACCGTTGTATCCTTTTAGGTCTTCCTGGAGATTCAGGTTGTGCTTTGGCCCATTGCGGAGGTCACTGATTGAGTTCGAATGAATCTTCGAGTCATCAAGTACTCTTCGATATTCTAGGAGCGAATTCTCGTCCTTCGAGTCAATGTGAACGGTTCCAAGGCCTGCGTAACACGAACGGTGTGAAGCCGGCAAAGATTCAATGTCTCGGCGTGGCCTTCTCCATCTCTTTGCAATTTCCCACCATGCTTCAATGACCTTTCGGGCACTGTTATTTGAGCAAATAGATTCTGCGTGGAACTGTATCCCAAAGAACGGCTTTGACTTGTGCTCTACAGCCATCAAAACTCGCGGCGGATTGGAAGACATGGCGTCCTCTGTGCGGTCTCCGGCATTGTCCATTTCGTAGTCCCAAGCCAAAGGTCGGAGATCCGAGCATTTGAGTAATGAACTTCTCGCTTCGTAGGACCTTGTCCATTCATGCTTGCCCTCCGGTCCAAGAGAAGCGTAAAGGGAATGATACTGAACCGTTTCTACCTCCTCCACCCCCCGAAAAATAATTTCCCCATTTCCCCTAACCCTCCTGACAATCCCATGTCTCGGCTCCCCTAACCTATCAATCGTTCCCCCAAAAGCCAGCACGAGACTCTGAAACCCAAGACAGATTCCCAAAACCGGTAACAAATCCTGGTTTCCAAGCTTCCACAGTTCTTGAACCCACCCTACGTCCTTAGGATTCCTCGGGTCGCCGGGACCAGGTCCCGCGACGACTGCGGAGAACGGTCTTAGGAACTCTGCCAAGTTCCGGATAGGTTCATCGATTTTGATAGTTGTGACTTCGACGCGGAGATTCGTTTCGAGGAGGGCGATGATGTTGTTAGTGAAAGAATCATAGGCGTCGATGAAGAGGACGCGGTGGGTGGTGGCGTGGGGCATTTCCTCTCAAATTTTTTAAAATGAAAGATGCGACGATCATATACAGCAATGAAGAGAAGTCATCGGTTCTGTCGTATAGTAGATTCGACAAAAGATTCGTATACTCGTTACTTTACATACTGAGTAGATGAGTTTGGGGGGCGTCTGGCTTGATAAGCGCGATTGGGAGAAAAGCGTGTCCGGTCAGCGGACTATAGAGGTATTATCAGTCTGTCTTCCGATATCATGAATGATGCTCACACTTGAATTATATTGGCAACGAGAGGATGTGAAAGAATGAGAAATGGTGGTTGTAGAGAATTTAGCGCATTCAGAAAAAGCGCGAAATCTTGGCATCAGCAATTGCTCCCACCCCAATAAAGTATACTTAGTTTCATGAGGAAACGCGAAATACTAGGAAATGCGAAATTTTTAAATCCGATAAATCCGACTTAGATGGCTACTACTATCATAGCTATTACTATCACTTATTTAAATAATCTACTACTATAGTCTATTATAATAGCTAATACTATAATACTATAGTCGCCGTCTATATATCTAGTATAATAAATATCTCTATTCTAGACTTAGATATAGTCTATTTTTATTCTAGCGATATATATATCTAAATAGTATACGATATTTTATTTAGATTATATAATATAGTAGAATATCTATTAAAAATATTATAAATTATCTAATTAGTAACTAGCCTCTCGACGTATAACTATAAATTTAAATCTACTAAATATCTTAATAATTTCGAAAATAATAAAAAAATAATAACTTAATATTTAATTTCTCGTAATTATAAGAGAGTTTATATTATAAGTATATAATTTATTCTAATTTATAGCTAAAATTTACTTATATATATCTAAAATTTACTAGATCTCTACTAACTTACTTTTAATTAGACTTTTAAACTTCTTTTTTAATACTTTAAAATATTATATAGAATAAGAATTATAATATATCTTATATAACGATCTTAATATCTAGTATTATAATATTATAAGACTTTAACTTTAAAGAGATTCGATAAAGAAATAAAGAAATAATAGTTATAAACGTATTTTACTATAGAGTAACTATTTAATATTATATCTTTAAGCGAAGAAGAAATTATAGAATAATACGCTCTAATTAATTCGAGTACTCTTAAATCGAGTTATAGTCTTTAATTCTTAAATTAATATTAAATAAGTTTCTTCTTAAGATATTATATCTACGAAATCGCTATAAAATATTAAATAATAATAATAAGATCGAATAATAACGCGATATAACTTCGAAAGTTCTTTATAAATAGAATAATAAGAGTAGCGTACTTAATAGATCTTACGTAAAGTAATCGTTAAATAATAAGAGTCTAAGTAATCGATTTTTAAATATAGAAAAATAAGGCTTTAAAGGGCTTTCTAAAGACTTCGAATAAATTTAAATCGTTTAAAAATACGATATTTAAGCTATCGATAGCCTATTAATATTATAAGTCGAGTATCTTCTATTATTTAAAATAGATATATATAAGCCTTCTATAAGCCTTTCTATAAGCCTTTCTATAAGCCTTTCTATAAGCCTTTCTATAAGCCTTTCTATAAGTCTTTCTATAAGCTTTCTTAATTTAAAATAGATATATATATATAAGTCTCTCTATATTAATTAATTTATCGAATAGATAATTTAGAGAGCTAAGAAAAGAACTTATTAATCTATAGTCCTACGTAGCGAGTAAATCGTATTTCTTCTTATTATAACTTCTTTAAAGGCTTTAAAGAAATTATCTAAAGAGATACGCCTAGATCTTATAATTAATAAGTATAATTAAGCTCTTATAATTTATAAGCTTAGCGAAGAGCCTCGTAAAAAGAAGTCTACTATCTTATTAATTATATTATACTATAATTTTACTAATTTTACTCTTAATCGATATATTAATAAAAAGACTTATTCTTATTAAGAAGTATATAAGAATAAATAATAAATAAGTTCTATAGAGAAGTAAGTTTTAAGTTTATAAGTTCTATAAGTAATAGAGTAAGATTAATTTTTAAGAGTTATCTCTATTTAATATATAGCTAGAGAAAATATTATAGTAAAGAAAGATTATAAAGAGCTAGATATAAATTAGGTAATTAGCTTTCTAAAATATTATTTAGAGCTATAAAGTCGATATAATTAACTATTAAATAAAGAATAATCTATAATTTATAATTTAATAAAATTACTACGATGATTTTAACTTATAAAGTTAATAATTTAGAAATATAATATTTAAAAGAAAAATATATATAATATAGATAAGAAAGAAATTACTCTTAATTCTATTAATAGAATAAAAGTCGTAATTTTTAAGTATAATATATAGATATATAAAATTTAAGATAAAAGTAGAGAATAGATAACTTTTATCGAATATATATTCGCTAATAAAAGGCTTCTTATATTAATTATTATCTTTAAAGATAAGTGTTATATAAAAACTTAATATAATATTATAGAGAATATAATTATATAAATTAAAATAACTAAAATTAGCTAAATAAATAATATATTAAATCTAAATTAGTTTATTAAATAAGCTATTCTCTTATATAAATTTAATAAGAGAAGTACTTCTTAAAAAAGCGTCTAACTTACTTCTTATAGAAACTTTAAACTATAAACTCGATAGATAATTAGAGAATGATATCGCCTTTTATAAGGGCGTAGTTTACTAACGATTAGCTAGCGGGCATAGACTATAAAAGACGTAGTATCGTTATAGAATTTAATAGTATATTTGATAGTAGAATTAATCTTTAAGAAATATTAAAACTTCGAGATATACGAAGTAAATCTATATTCGTTAAGCTTCTAGATATATAAGATATATTATTAAAATTAAACTCTAAAAGAAACTCTAACGTAGAATATATGATATCGGCGCTTTAGTATAAATAGCGTTAAGGTCTATAACGTATTAGATCTAATAATTATCTTTTCTTTTAGACTTTAATCTTTAAACGCTTAAGTAAAGATAGAACGTTTATTAAAAAACCTTTAAACTCTAATAGGAAAATAAGAGAAAAAAGTCGATTTATTAAGGTTACGATATCGTTTTAATAACGCGATAAAACTAACTCTTACGCGTCGTAGGCGCGTGATTAATATATTATATAATAATATTAATACTATCTTCGAGAATAATATCGCTTTTATAATATTAATTAATAATAATTTATAGTAAGTTGATGTGTTTAGTATTAATGTTTTTATAGCGTTAGTTAATAGCTCTTATAGCGAATAATATTAGATTTAAAAATTTATAATAAAACCTCGAAAACTTAGTAGGTAAAGAAGAGAGAAGAGTTTCTTTGTAGGTAACGTCGTTTTTATAGCGTATTGCGTTTATAGCGAAGTAATATAATAATAATCTTTATTATAAAAATTCGAAGGGAGTAATTAATAAAGCGACGCGTTCGCGATAACGCTCTCGATTATTAATTAATAATAATAGTAGAAATAATAATAGTAGCTAGGCGACGCGGCTCTATAGATAATAGCGAAATATTATCGCGTTGCTACTATTTACGTTATTAAGTATTATTTATTAGTATTAGTACTATAATAGAGAATATAAAAATCTCTTTTAAATTATTTATTTTTATTCTTTATAACTTTTAATATCTCTCTTATAAGTGCTTATTCTAGCGTTATAACGTCGATATTAATACTAATATAAGTATAGTATATCTTATTATATTAATAGTCTGCTTCTCTTTATCGTAAGTATCTTATTATTATTAATCGCGTTAATATATAAACTAATAATTTTATAATATTCTTTTTTAATAATAATAATAACTTTAATAGTAAGTATATAGTCGTTTTATAAGCGCGATTACTAACCCTTAACTATTTCTATTATTATCGCTTTATATATATATCTATTAATAAATTCTAATATCTAATTTATTATATAGAACTTACTTTTATCGAGGCGATAATTTATATATTTAAGATAAGTCTTTTTTTTATAATAACTATAAGATCGAAAGACGCGATATTAACCGCTATATTAAAATCCCTCTATATCTTTAAACGTAAATAAAAAAATTAATATAACGCTATCGCCGCGTTAAATAATCTTAAAAGCTATCTTATCGATAGATTAAGCTCGATAAAAAGATTATTTAATAGCGTAAATTATAGAAATATATAATAGCGATAACTTCGATTATTTTTATTATAATTATAAATCTTTAAGACTAGCTTATAACGATATATAAGTATATAGAGAAATTAAAGAAAATAAATAAGTTATTAAAGAAGAAGCTTAAGAGCCTTTATTAATATATAATAAATATCGATAAATATTAACTCGAAGATTATACTTTAATTATCTTCTTATTAAAGAATTAAGTCGATAAACTTAATATAATTTTTAACGCTAAGATAATAGAGGATATTTAAATAGCGATTTTTTTTAGTAATAGCGCTAGCGTAGAATCTCTAGATAGTTTTTTAATAGCTACTCTAGATAAAAATATATTTATATTAATAGTATATACTCTAATATAATAAACTCTCTCTATAATAGAGTTTAGTAGATAATTAAATAATATAATTATTTTATTAATCTATATTTTAATAGTAGTAAGTATAGAGGAGTATACGCGTAGTATAAGTATTATCTAGAAATATATTTAATCTAATTAATAATTATATCTTATTTTATTATCTTCGCTTACTCGCTATTAATTTATATAATTAATCGAGCTCTTTAATAATAAGAGACTTATTATTTATTACTTAATACTTTCGCTTACTATTCGCTTACTTATAGATTTAAATTAGCTCGCTAGTATTAATAAGTTCGTTATTTAATAATTATTAATTATACTCTTCGCTTTAATTAGTTTATTTAACTTTATATTAAACGCCTTTCTTATACTTAATCTTATTAATAATTTTTTTAATTTTTTAAAGCTTATTATTATTAATAAGATTAAAGATTTATATAAAGATTTTCG